ACAAATTATAAAACGGTCACCTGTCATTAGGGATCTTTAGGTATTAACAGTCATTATTCTTAAAAGATTGTGACTTATTCTACAGCGGCCCAGGGTCATTCTTCTCGAACGAGTAACTCAAGACAGAAACAATTCAGGGACGACGTGTAGTAAACAGCTACCCTTTTTATAGCCACAACGAAAAACCCCAGAATGTACCCCAAATGGCCCACAGATCTTAAAGCACACTTCAGCTATATGAGAAATATTACAGCACCTACCTGGCCATATAGATGATAATCAAATTCATAGATCTTGTTGAATTTTGAAAATCCTTCCCTCTATAACAAAACAGAAATATAATAGATTGATTGAAAACAAAAGATTCCTCAGCCTTAAAGATGAAACAGAGCACTGGTAACCGGTAAGACTGTACATCCTAAAGTACGTCCTAAAGACAAAAACTAGGCTACGTTACTAAGACCATTTATGAAGTAGGTCCTCGAAACAGTTCCAAGCATGACTGGTAGAGTCCACGGAGTTTTTACGCTGGAAGGTAACCTCGAGGTCAGCCAACGTCACATCTTCTTGTAAGTGAGAATGGAAGTGTCCAAAGTCGTATCACAGATTAAAGGCAGAAGGAGGGTTAGGACATAATTCTCTTGACAATTTTCTCCTTCTTCCCCATATACTTGTACTACTTTCTGGCTGTCCAATTATACCTGACAACTGTGAGCACAAGCAAGTCGTTCGCTTTTATGAACATCAATTTGTTTTTGAATAAAGTTACCTCTGGGTTCTCCTCTGGCTCTAAAATCCAGTAATACTGGGGCGCCTGGGTGGCTCAGTTGTTAAGTGTCTGCCTTTGGCCTGGGTCATGATGCCAGTGTCCTGGGATCGAGCCCCACGTTTTCGGCAGGAAGCCTGCTTCTCCCTCTTCACTCCCCCTGCTTGTGTTCCCTCTCTCAAATAAATCAGTAAAATCTTTATAAGAAAAAAAAATACAGTGATACTACGAGCCCCAGTCAGAACTGGAACCCAGTCTATAAAACAATTCTTCAGCTTGCAATCATGGATGACTAAGACCCTCTCTGAGTAGATTCCACATTCCTCCACAGGACATTAAAAGAAGTTACACATGTGAGTTTTGCACCAACACTACGCAGAAGATAAGAAAATGGCCTACTGGGAAGTGGAAAAATATTCAAGGGCCAATAAGGGTCGGTGTCGAGAAGATTCTCCTCTGTCTCACTATTTTTTTGAGTAGAATTTTTCTAAGTGGAATACTAAATGAGGTTCCCTTTGAGGCATAATCACAATCCTTAAAAAAAATTTATTTATTTGCAAGAGAACACATGAGCAGGGGAAGGGGCACAGGGAGAGAGAACTCTCAAGCAGACTCCTGGCTTGAGGGCCAGACATGGGGCTCAATCCTAGGACCCCAAAATCACTACCCAAGCCGAAGGCAGACGCTCAACTGACTGAGACACCCCAGTGATCCCAGATTGACAAATTTTAAGAGGGAATTTATTTTAGTATCGGATACTTAAGAGTTCACTGGTTGCCAATATCACCAAGAAAAAAAATTCCCCTTTACAAACTCTAGTTGCTGGTTAAGCCTTTTAGTAATAGAGATTAGAAATTGTCTAATCAGTAGTTTCTGACTTTTTTTTTTATCAGAAGCAGTGTCTGCAGCTTTTTTTCCCCAAGAAAGTGGTTTCTGACTTTTCAAGAAAGCTCTGAAGCCTTCCTTAACAAACAGTAATATAGACCCTGATGTATAACAAGGCTAAAGTCTGCTTACTCACCCTCTCCCCAGCCTAGCCCCAAGTAATTCCTAAGGTGCGCACACACATTGTCCCTCGGGTCTCTTGGGAATGCAGACAAAAAACCACTGTTCTAGATACACTTTTCAAGAGAAATAACTTGTCTGATAACATTCGTGTGACCCCACAACAGGGCTCATCCAGGTGGTCTCCTCTCCCAGTGTTAGCCTCGAGGATGTGAAATGCATTTCAAACCTGCCCCCCAATAATTCCCATCTGAGGATGGAACGCAATTATGTGCAAGTCCCCATTTGTGTGAGGTGCTCAGGGAAGGGTGGATGGTCCCAAATTATAGTATTTCTGGAGTCTGGAGAAAGAAAAGAAAAAGAAAAAAAAAACAACAACCGCCTGGTAGACCAAGAATATAGCTTTTGTGCTTTCTTTTGCAGTGTCGTCCACTCTGTTAAAAACAAAAAACAAAACAAAAAAATTCCTTCTCTAAGTGCACTGTAGGAACTGTCACACTGCTGACACTAAATGCACTGCAGGATTAAGATTTATCTTTCTGGGGGCGCCTGGGTGGCTCAGTGGGTTAAAGCCTCTGCCTTCGGCTCAGGTCATGATCTCTGGGTCCTGGGATCAAGCCCCGTATTGGGCTCTCTGCTCAGTGGGGGGCCTGCTTCCCCATTTCTCTTTCTCTGCCTGCCTACTTGTGATCTCTCTCTGTCCAAAAAAAAAAAAGATTTATCTCTCATATTCATATTATCTCATTATTCATATTAAAAAAAATGAAAAAACTGTATACACATATAAGGTTGTAGTTTTCAATTTGTGGGTGTTTTTGTTTGTTTGTTTTTAAATATTTTATTTATTTATGTTGACAGAAACATCTAGAGAGGGAACATAAGCAGTGGCAGAGGGAGAGAGAGAAGACTCCCTGCTGAGCAGGGAGCCTGACTCGGGGCTCGATTCCCAGGACCCCGCGACCATGACCTGAGCTGAAGGCAGACGCTTAACAACTGAGCTACCCAGGCGCCCCTCAATGTGGTTTTGTTGTTTTTTTTTTTTAATAGATTTTATTTATTTATTTGACAGACAGAGATCACAAGTAGGCAGAGAGTCAGGCAGAGAGAGGAGGAAGCAGGCTCCCTTCTGAGCAGAGAGCCCGATGCGGGGCTCGATCCCAAGACCCTGAGATCATGACCCGAGCCGAAGTTAGAGGCTTAACCCTCCGAGCCACCCAGGCGCCCGCCTCAATGTGTTTTTGAACGCTATTGTAAACGGAATTGTTTTCTTAATTCTCTTTCTGGATTGTTCATTGTTACTAATTTGCGTGCGTTGATCTTTGCTGACTGGATTTATTAGCACTGATGGTCTTCTGTGGCTTCTTTAGGATTTCTATTCTATAAGATTATGTTGTCTGCAAATAAACATATTTTTAATTCTTTTTAATTCAGATTTCTTTTTCTTGCCTAATTGCTTTAGTTAGAACTTCTAGTAATTTTGGATAGCAATGGTGAAAACAGGCAATCTTGTCTCATTCCTGATCTCAGAGGAAAAGCTTTCAGTCTTTCACCCTCTGGCTAAAGTTAGTAATGGGATTTTCAAAAAATACCTTTTATCATGAAGGGGATTAAATTTTTATCAAATGCGCTTTCTACATCAATTGAGACAAACAACATAGGTTTTAAGTGGGGGATTACTGGGGTCGTATCTGTGTTTTATAAAGTCACTTTGGCAATGGAAAATTTCAAGAGTGAAAGGCGAGGGAGAAAGCTACTGGAGTTTTCTGTGTGAGGGGTCAGGGGCCTGAACTCTACAGACACAATGTCAGCTCTTGCTCCCACTATCCACGAGCTAGAAATGGAAGTCTAACGACCTTGGGATGTTTAAAGAGAAAAGGGCAGGGAACTTCTGCCCCATTCTCTTAGAAATGGCCTTCAGAAAACCATTTCACGATCCACCTTATTTATTTCTTAAAAAGATTTTATTTATGTACTTGTCAAAGAGAAAAAGAGAACACAAGCAGGCAGAGAGGCAGGCAGAGGCAGAGAGAGAAGCAGGCTCCCAGCTGAGCAAGGAGCCCAATGCGGGACTCAATCTCAGGACCCCAGAACCACGACTTGAGCAGAAGGCAGTGGCTTAACCAACTGAGCCACCCAGGCGTCCCTCATGATCCACTTTAATTGGACAGATTTTTCTGAACAGTTTTGCTGCCTCTGTGCCAACTCGTATACAAAATCTTTTACCTTCCCCTTCCTGAGCACCTGCGGTGTGTCTAGGACACATACTCATCCCTTACTTGCCTGTTCTTGGAGTCTGTACTAGTAGGAATAGGGCTGAGCTTCCCTCTAATCCCAAAAAGCTAGTTAGCTGGGAATGCTCGGACAGGGCTTGACTGCCAAGTTAAAGGACTCTGTTCAGTGGTTCCCAACAACCTGAGTTTTCGAATCACAGGGACTAATGTTAAAATACAGACTTCTCTGATCTCACCCCAGACCCACAGAATAGGCGGCGCCCCAGCTGGTTCCGATTATCAGACAAGTTTGGGAACCGCTGCTGTGGACGAGAAGCCACAAGGTTTTCAAGTACACGGGTGAAGCGTCTTAACTATATTTTTGCATGCCTATCACTGGGAAAAGACAGGAAGCGAATGCAATGACCCAGGAGTGAGATAAGTGGGGTCGGCTCCCGCTCCCGCTCCCGCACCCGCACAGCTGATCGGAAATACGCCTCCTTACCCGCCTCATGCGACCGTTGGACAGCAGGTCGGCTATCCCCTTGGCCGCGTCGTTTTTCTCGGCCACACAGAGAATTTTCCGCACGCCTCGGAAGGCCACCGCCATGGCAGCGCGGGACAAGTTCCGGGCTCCCGGCCGTTCCAGCCAGCGGAGCGCGCAGCGGGCGACCGGGAAGATCATCCCTAGGCCCCGCGCCCGCAGCCGGCCCCTGGGTGCTCACGCATGATGGAGGAGCCAGACGTGAAGTTCACCCGGCGCCCTCCTTAACGAAACTGGGGCCTCCGGGAGCCGCCAGCGCCACCTTCCGCGGCCCGTCACGTCCCCTCAGGCCGCCGGAGTTCAGACCCGCTGCCTCTGCCAGGAATCCCGCACCGAAGGCGTCCCGTTTCCGCCCGCCTTCTCGGGCTACATCCGCCGGGCACGAGCGCCCCAGGACTGCGAACTACAATTCCCAGACCTCCCTGCGCCCCAGGGCCCCTCGCAAGTTTCCGCTTTTCCGCCACACTTCCTTCGCTTCCCGACAGCGGTTGGTGAGTCGACTCGTCCTTGGGAGAGGCCGCTGGACGGTTCTGCCCAGACCTGTCGCGCGCTCACAATCTTTTTCGGTCCCGCTCGGAAGCCTACGCGGACGCTTCCGGGTCACGCGGCGCAGAAACCGCGAGTCATGTGACACCAAGATGGCGGCGCCGCGGTAGCTGGCTCCGGGTTGTGGCGTCCGAGGAGCCGCGACGGTTTCTGCCCTCGGGCCGTGGGGGCGGCAACGCTTGACTGGTCCTTGCGGCGCCCCGTAGCCCGGCGTTAGGCACCGGTTCAGGGCTGGGCTGTCGCTGTCGCGGTGGGGTCGGGGGAGTGCCGGTGACCTCGCTGCAGGTGTCCTGCGCCGGACGCTCTCGCCGGAGGAGGAGGAGGAGGAGGAAAAGGAGGACAACCGGCCTACCTGGTCTTCTGGACCTGCGGAGTCCATGGGCCTCTGAGGGCTGTAGAGGAGCTATACCTCTCAGGGGACCGTGGGAGTTCGAGTCTTCGAGTCTGTGAGGGGCAGCCTGGTACCCCTGAGGGCGCAAAGAAGACCGCAGAGACTTTGCTTCCTCTTCCAGAGGCCTGGCTTCCCTGCGTTGATTACCCCTTCATTCTTTCTCACTTCCTCTCAATGCTCTCTCCGTATATCTGGAAATATGATCAGCGCCCCTGACGTGGTGGCCTTCACCAAAGAGGAGGAGTACGAGGAGGAGCCTTACAATGAGCCCCCCTTGCCTGAAGAGTACTCGGTGCCACTCTTCCCCTTTGCCAGCCAGGGAGCCAACCCATGGTCCAAACTGTCCGGGGCCAAGTTCTCTCGGGACTTCATTCTTATTTCCGAGTTCTCGGAGCAGGTGGGACCCCAGCCCTTGCTGACCATCCCCAATGACACCAAAGTTTTTGGTACTTTCGATCTCAATTATTTCTCCTTGCGGATCATGTCTGTGGATTACCAGGCTTCCTTTGTTGGCCATCCCCCTGGTTCTGCCTACCCCAAGCTGAACTTTGTGGAGGACTCCAAGGTGGTGCTGGGAGACTCCAAGGAGGGAGCCTTTGCCTACGTGCACCACCTTACCCTGTACGACCTAGAGGCCCGGGGCTTTGTGAGGCCCTTTTGCATGGCTTATATCTCAGCGGACCAGCACAAAATAATGCAGCAGTTTCAGGAGCTCTCGGCTGAATTTTCCAAAGCTTCTGAGTGCTTGAAGACAGGCAACAGGAAGGCTTTTGCGGGAGAACTTGAAAAAAAACTGAAAGACTTGGATTACACCAGGACAGTGCTGCACACGGAAACGGAGATCCAGAAGAAGGCCAATGACAAAGGCTTTTACTCATCTCAGGCAATTGAGAAAGCCAATGAACTGGCCAGTGTAGAGAAGTCTATCATTGAACATCAAGACCTGCTGAAACAGATCCGCTCGTACCCGCATCGAAAGTTGAAGGGGTCTGCTCCGTGTCCTGGGGAGTCGGAACACACCCAGGATCAGGCCAGCCAGGCAGCCGCTACCTCTAACCTCGATGAGTCTGCTGACACAGACCTTTACACCTGCAGACCTGCTTATACCCCGAAACTCATCAAAGCAAAGTCCACCAAGTGTTTTGACAAGAAGCTGAAGACCTTGGAAGAGCTCTGTGACACTGACTATTTCACCCAGACCCTGGCTCAGCTCAGCCACATAGAGCACATGTTCAGAGGAGACCTGTGCTACCTCCTGACCAGCCAGATTGACAGAGCACTTCTAAAACAACAGCATATAACAAACTTCCTCTTTGAAGATTTTGTGGAGGTTGACGACAGGGTGGCAGAGAAACAAGAGAGTGCACCCCCTAGGCCCGGTCCAGGCAGGCCGCCTTCCAGATCTTTGGAAGAATGTCCGATTCCTCAAGTGTTAATTAGCGTTGGTTCTTACAAGTCCAGTGTGGAGTCTGTGCCCATCAAGATGGAGCAGGAACTTGGAGATGAGGAGTACAAGGAAGTGGAGGTGACAGAAATGAGCAGTCTTGACCCCCAGGAAAACTTGGACTACTTGGATATGGATATGAAAGGGAGCATCAGCAGTGGCGAAAGCATCGAGGTTCTGGGCACAGAGAAGTCTGCCGCTGTGCTGCCTAAGTCCGACAGCCAGGCCAGCCTCACGGTGCCACTGAGCCCCCAGGTGGTCCGGAGCAAAGTGGTCAGCCACAGGACCATCAGCGAGGACAGTATTGAAGTCCTCAGCACCTGCCCCTCGGAGGCCCTCATCCCTGACGATTTTAAGGCCAGCTACCCAAGTGCCATTAACGAAGAAGAATCCTATGCAGATGACAGTGACGGAGCCATCCACTTCCGGGCCAGCGTCAGCCCGCCGTTGCTGGGTGAGGCAGAGGAGGGCAGCTTAGAAACCCCCCCATCACAAATAGACACCTCCTGCTGTATTGGGAAGGAGAGCGACAGTCTGCGGGTGCCCCTCTCCCCTCCAGCCCACATGCCCTTGGAGCAGGACGGAGTGGTGAGCATCCCCCCGCAGCGCTATAGGCAGAAGGATCAGGGGTTCCATGTGGACTTTGCAGTGGAAAATGCCAACCCTTCCCGAGACGACAGTTCCGAAGGCTTCCCTGCTGATGAACTGGACCCAGACCGCCTGCTGGCGAGCCGGGACATCAGTAAGACCAGCTTGGACACCTGTTCGGACACTGCCAGCAACATGAGCAGTGTAACCTCCACCAGCTCAGACCGGACTCCCGCCTCCGCTCATTCCAGTGGCTCCTCTTCCGAGAGGCATAAAAAGAGGGCCGGCCAGAACGCCTTAAAATTCATCCGTCAGTACCCCTTTGCCCACCCAGCCATCTACTCCCTGCTCAGCGGAAGGACACTTGTGGTGCTGGGGGAGGACGAGGCCATAGTGAGGAAGCTGGTGACGGCGCTGTCCATCTTTGTCCCCAACCACAGCCGTTACGCCAAACCGGTGAAGCACTGGGTCTCTTCTCCTTTGCATATCACGGATTTTCAGAAGTGGAAGCTTATCGGCCTTCAGAGGTAACTGGTTGCCCGTAGGGGCGGTAGGGAAGGGCCCCGTCCTGTTAGAGACGAGGCTTCGGACGTACAGCCCTCTGGGGAAGGTGCACAGGTTCACGTGGTAGGCCCAGAATTGGGGGACCTGGCTTCCAGACTGGGCCCTCGACACCAGCTCCTTCCGTAGCTTTCGGCAGATCATTCCCTTTCTCTGGTCTTCTGTTTCATCATCCCTCGCAGGACGGATTGCCGTTCAGTGCTGGTTGCCAGCCCTGGCCTGCGACCTGCTGTGTCAGAATTATTTAGGAGAGTTTTCTAGATCATGGAGTTCTGGGTCGTCCCCCTGCCCCCCACACAGGTTCTGATTCAATTGGTCTAGGGCAAGACCTGGAGTTTCTCTGGTATACGGCAAGGTTTGGGGAACAACCAGACTTCTAGATCTCAGATTTTCTCTGATTCTCAAATTCACACTCTGGTGTAAATGATCGAGGAGAGGTCGGCTTCTGAGAAAGCGCTGTGGTAGTCCTAGAAGGTGGCAGCCATCACTGTGACAGGGACATCAGGGGACTCCGTGGCTTTCATTTCACTGTCCTTAGAAGGCTGTTTCCCCCCCCACCCCTCGCCTCCAGAAATGCAAGAGCCACTTCTCTGCTTGAATGCTTTCTATTTCATTTTCCCACAATGCTTGTGTTGCAGTAGACTCATTGTCTTTTTTCCAAATACTGCTTGACAAGTTGTCTGGCCCAAGGGTCTCTTTCCCTCGGAGCAGGCACGGTGTTCTGTTTCCTCGTTCACTTCTCTGCACCCACTTGGCACATCTGTAAGACAGCGGTGCTGACATAGCCAGCTGTGCTTCCCGTGCCACATGGGAAGAGAGAAGGGATTTCTGCCATGCTGCAATCAGCAGTCGTTCGTTCCAATTTTCTGACTCTCCTTTTGCATTGGTCCCTAGTATCAGCGAGGTCCCCGTCACTCGAGTGGCCTTGTGTTTGCCCCTCTTGCAGGAGTCACCCCGCCCTCGCTCTAACCCTTGCTGTATGAGGCTTTCCGCGGGGTTGTGGCAGTGGTGTTTAAGCAGGTGGCGCCTCCACGTCCTGCCTTGGCTCACTGCCCGTCCCGGTGGGTGCTAGGGGTTCATCTGGAGGTGCCTGAGCAAGGGCACTGGCCTGGAGGAATTCATAGTTCTCCAGGGGAGACGGGTGACAGGGAGGGGAGTGCCAACAGCAGGTGCATCGTGTGTTCTAAGGAAACAGAGGGGGCGACTGAGTGACGTGTGGGAAGTGAGGGAGGGGGTGCCTGGGGAAGGCTGGGGGTCTTCGGCTGAGGCACCAGGAGGACGAGCTTGCCAGTGTGGGAAAAGAGTGATGACATGGGGACTTGGTGTGACATGGCCCAGACCCCTGGAGCAGCCCCTTCTTCGGGCCGCCCAGCAGACCGAGCGGGGGCCCTTGCTTATGGGCGCAGACACAGGCTGGGGAGTGAGAGGCTGCCCCGGGCGCCCTTGCAGACTGTGTCCTTCCTCCCAGGATCCGGTCCCTCTGCCGATGCCAGCTCTGTGCTCGGGTGTAGCCTGTCTGTCCCAGCAAGGCAAGGGCTTTTCAGGGATCGCATTTGCCCCTGATCTTGGTGGAAGAACGGGTTCGTGTCCCTTGCATACACATACCACTTCTCCGAGTCTCTCCCCTCGCCCCAGCCCTGACCCCTTTCCATTTTTCTTCCCCAAAAGATGGAGAATGTAAAATGCACTTCAGTCTGTTGTCAGCTGGCTTATCCGGGACCAGGCTCAGGACAGTCTTGCCCTTCCCAGAGGCTTTCCCTGAAATTCCCTCCTTAAAACGGGCTGGGATGGCAAAAGAAGTTATCTCTTCTGCCAGCTCCGTTCCATCGGGTACCCAGCTGGAGTGTGGCGTTGAGGGTTCTGAGGCCTGGGCGGGGCTGCCTTGGGAAGCCTGCTGTGGTCAGTTCATGAAGTCTGGCCGCAAGAGAAGGTAGCTGGTGGGTGGGCTCCCTGAGGTGGAGGAGAAGGCAGGAGGTGGTCTGAGTCCTGGGCCAGCCCTACCAGTAGTCAGCCACTGTGGGCACATGAACAAGTCCCTCCTCCACTGTGAGAGGGTTGGATCACTGAATGATCATTAGCCAAATATTTACAGAGGACTGTGAGACGCTAGCCCCCACAGCCAGAATCATATGGTGAGTCAGCCGTGGTGCGTCCCCGTGACAGGCCGAGCACCATCTTCGGGGTGGGGGAGGGTCCCTCACACCAGTCCCCGCTCTGTCACCATACTGTCACCACACAAGGCTCTTTCTGTCTATAGACGGAGTTGCCAAGACCTGTCTTGTGAGAGCGGCTGTGGAAAGGCCCATTGCATCTGGTCCGTGTCTGATCAGTGCGAGCGCAACTCTGATAACCTGGCGGGGATGCACACAGGTTGAAGGGAGGCTGGCGAGGGCCGCCGATGCTGAGTGGGGCCCTCACCAGCCGCCTTCAGAGCCTTTAACCAGCCCTCTGAGAAGGTGAGAGGCCCATCAGAAGTGCCAGACGAGAGCATTGCAAACAGCCCCGAGAGGGGGAGCGTCTCCCAGTGCTCACCTTCTCAGACCTTCTAGATGTGCACAGATGTTGGGGATTGGCAAGGGCTGCCTCCAGAGGGTCCTGCTCTGGTGTGACATACAGTGTGCGGGGGTTCGAGGCCTTGTTCGCTAGGGGGCATGTCACTGGAGTGGGGACTGGATTGTCACAGCTCTCCCGAGGAAATCCTGAGAGGTGGGTGGCAGACACCATCTGAATGTATCCAGAGACAAAAGCCATGGGGTTGTGGCCCGGGGCAGGTAGGGAGGGGCGCTGTGGGTCCTGATGCTTCCACGATCGGCCCTGTGGATTTTTGGACCAGGCCTCTCCTGTCTCCCTCATTCGCCCAGCAAAGCTTGTTGAACGTGCCTGCGAGCCGGGCTTCCCGGGCTCCATGTGTGGAGAGCTGCAGGAAAGGGTCACATCTGGAAAGAACGTAACACCCTTTGCTGTGCTCGCCCTTTGAAGAAGTGCTCAGAGCTATGGGTATCAGTGGTGAGTCACCCCAGCCGGCAGAACCAGTGTTGAAACTGGGAGGCAGGAGGACGCCCATCTGAGGATGGGCATTAAAGAGTAGTTGTAGAAGAGGGGCCTTTGTGTGGCCGTGAACTTCCTTGCCGGGGGTGGGGATGGGAATGGGGGGAGTTCCGGTCTGGGGGAGCTGGGTTAACCTGTGTGCTGGGTTAACCTGGAATCTGAGAACTGAGACCCAGGAGAGTCTCTCCCCACTCAGGTGCTCTGGCCTGCTGCGAAAACCAGCTCTGATGATGAACCGCTTTTAAAGACTCCCCCCTCCACAGCTGCCAGCTGCATTAGCACTTGACTTTTTTTCCCCCTAAAGTAGGCCTTCTGCCTGGAGATGCTCATGCACTGGATCCATCGCTTGTGGGTACGCGATGGGCAGATAACCATGTTGGTTTCCCATTATTTTAAATCAGAATGAAGGAGAATTGTATTGCTTGCCAAGTCGCAGGAACAAGCCCCAGACAGCTCAGTACGGATGGGAGGAGGTGCTAGGAGGGGGGTCAGAGGCCCTGGTTGAGTCCCGCCTCAGCCACTTTGCAGCTGGGGGGGACCTTTCGTGAGCCATGGCCCCTCTCTGGGCCTTGGTGTTTGCATCTACCCAGAGCCTACCCCCGGCGTTGGGATGGACGGTAAGGAATCTAAGACAGGTGTGGGAGGTGAAGCCCGAGGCTCTCAGTCACCTTGCAGTGTCGCCGGGACCAGAGGTGTGGGCTTGCCGCTTTCCATGCTGCCTTGCCCCCTTGTGAGGAGTGTTGTGGGAAGACACATGTGTGGGGAGATGTGGGGTGCCAGAGCTCCCTGGGGACGACCGGGCCTGAGGCCGGGTGTTTAGCACGACGGGGGCTGGAGTGGAGGGGCAGGAGCATGGGGTGGGGAGGCCTGGCTTTGCCGCCATGGCAGAACCTCGGAGGGGCCGGATGTGCCCGGCTCAAGGGGGCATTTGGCTTATGGACGGGGCCCCTCCTGGGGTGGGAGTTGCCTGAGCACGTTGGTAGCGTGGCTGAGGAGGCCTGGGTCCCCGAGAAGCCGGGGAGCCTCCTGGCCTCATCACCCATGTGACGGGGGCCATAGCCCACTGCTCGCCTCATGGTTTCCAGGACGCATGGCCTGTGTGGCTCTCTGTCTTCTTGTCTGTGACCCTTCTCTTGTGTGGTCCAGATGCCATCCCAGGTTCTCGGAGCCCACCTTTGTTGCAAGGCCCAGCTCCAGAACCTTCCTGGCCCTGGTGCTCCCTCTTTCACTCGGGGTCCCCTGGGCATGTCTTATCTTCCCGGCCAACCAGGCTCGTACCTCACTCCCTCCTCTGCCCCCAGGTTGCTGCCTGGCATACAGCAGGTGCTGTTAACTGTACAAGGACATGACAACACCCAGGAAGGAAAAAATATAATGAGATTGCCTTGGTCCCCCGAGTGCCTGTCAGTCCTCTGTACGCAGTACCTGAGACCTAACACAAGCTATGAATTCCAGACGTGTGTCGGTCTGTGAAATCTCTGGTCAGCCAGACCTTTGCCAGACTGCAAGGCTGGCCGACTCTGGCTTCTCTGGGAAGACTGATCTAAAGGGTTTTAAAGAGCTGCTTACTAGGGCGGGTCACCCTGATCCCTTTCCTCGCTGGGCTAGCCTTGCCTCCCTGTGCTCTGTGAGCGTGGTAGCGGGCACTGGGCCTGAGGCGAGTTCAGCCAGTCCCGGCCCGCAGAAGCGCCGTGCGGTGGGAGAGACAGGAGATAAATGGCCGTCCCCATACTGTTCGGTGCCAGGCTGTCGAGACTGAAGGCCAGGCACTGTCCTAAACACGACCAATTTTGTCTGTGCAGTGACTGCGTGAGGCAGAACTGGTTATCTCTGTGTTACAGATGGGGCTCAGAGGGGGTAGGGAACTTGGCCAAAGTCACAAAGCAAAAAAGTAGAGAAGCTGAGGGAGGGGATCAGGGGTGGCTGGGTAAGGTTTAAGTTGGCGTAGAGGCAAGCACAAATGGGAGGGAAGGGTCCTCTGGGCAGAGCCTACAGGCCCAGGGTTTTGAGGCCCTACTGAGAGTGTGGCATGGCTTCCAGGAAGTCATCGTGGAAGTCACAGATGGGGCTTGAGAGGCCCTCGGGCCACGCCCAGGCACTCGGACTTGGTCGCAAGGGTGGTGAGGAGCCCTTTGAAGGGCATCAGGGTCAGATTTGCCTTCCAGAAAAAGCGAGGGAGCGTTGGCTGGTGGGAGCCGGCCGGGCCCAAGCCTTTCCTCCTGACGCTGGCCTGTGTGTTTCAGGGTGGCGTCCCCCGCCGGCACCGGCAGCCTCCACGCCCTGAGCCGCTACAGCCGCTACACCAGCGTCCTGGACCTGGACAACAAGGCCCTCCGCTGCCCCCTGTACCGGGGCGCCCTGGTGCCCCGGCTAGCCGACCACCGCACGCAGATCAAGCGGGGCAGCACATACTACCTGCACGTCCAAACCGTGCTGACCGAGCTCTGCTCCAAGGCCTTCCTCTACACTTTCTGCCACCACCTGCACCTGCCCGCGCACGACCAGGAGACCCCGGACGTGGTTGCCAGCCGCCAGGCGAGCTTCCTGAAGCTGACCCTGGGGCTGGTGAGCGAGGACGTGACGGTGGTCCGGCACCTGGCCGAGCTGCTCAAGCTGCGCTACACGCAGGAGGCTCCCGGGACCGGCCGCCCCACGCTCAGGTTCGACTACGTGCCCAGCTTTTTGTACAAGATCTGACATCCGCCCCAGCCACTGTGACCGAGACCTGTGACTCAGGGTACGGGGAGGGCAGGGTGGGCGTGAGCGAGCAGGCCTCTGAGCTTTTGAGACTTCTGGCGTCATCGGGGGAGGGAACGCAAGGTGGCAGCCCCGGTCCCCGGCTGGCGTCGGGCGGTCTGGGAGGTGGACTCGGGCAGAGGCGGGTGCCTGGGTCTCGGCGTCAGTGAGGACAGCGACAGACCCCACTCCGCCTAGCAAGGACTGGCCGCTGCGGTCGGGAGGGGCCGCTTGGTTTCCTGAGGGCTGGGCAGCGGGCCGGGAGGGAGCCAGCACTCTCTCGAGGCGGGATGGCGAAGCCCCGACGGGAGGGGCGCGCTGGCAGAGTCCGCTCCCGGACACTGGGCGGCCAGATCAGGGGAAGCACCCTGTTCCCTGGAACGGTTTAGTGGGAGACAGGACAACAGACCATCCGTTGCGTCATCCAGATCCCACCTGGGGTCCTTCCCTCCGGCACCCTAGAGCCCTCCATCCCAGAGGAGGCCCGTGGATGAGTGAGGTGGAGGGAGGCAGCTCTGCCTCAGCTGGGCGCTGGCAGACACGGAACCTTCTGGGCCCCGAGGCTGGAGGGAGAGCGAGCAGCACCCTGTCTGGTCCTGGCTTCCCCACTAGGCACAGAAGTGCCCGTGGGTGGTCTTCGCGGCTGCTTTACCCCGGGCAGCTGGAGTGGCTAGTTAGGCGCCCGTCCCTGCTTGTGATTGAGAACCACGCTCACAGCTAGAGAGCCTGGGAGACGGGCAGGGCCACGGGGCCTCGAGGCCGGCAGCACTGTGGAAGGGTTTGGGAGCCAGCAGGCCTCTGGGAGGCTGGAGGCCGTGAGGCCACACTGTGCTCTCGGGGACGGTCGGCAGATATGCTGGGACTTGGCCGAGGTCCCCTTCCCTCCCCCAGTCCTCTACCTGCAGCAAACCTTTGCAACCACTTCACTACCTCTTGCAGGGTCTCCTGGGCACGGTGACAGCGGGGTTCTGCCCAGCTGGTTGATCTGGAGAGGCAGCCCAGCTGGCGAGAACCCAGGGCCGGGGTCTCCTCCGGGAAGGAGGAAAGCCTCCTTGTGTGGGCTGTCTTCGTGGACCTGGCCCATGGGAGCCTCACCACTGCTCGCTCCTGCCCCCGCGCCACCCCCGCAAATACACGCACCTCACCCCTGTTCACTCCCACCGCACGCGGGCCCCCCAGATATGGTTACCTCACTGCAGCCACTCAACTCGCAGCGGCTCACTCCCAGCCCCACGTGAGCCCTCCCCCCAGGGAAGGAGACAGTGTCCCCGCTTCACCTCCCTGACGCCCCTGACACAGTTGCTATTGGTTTGTAGATGGAGGGTTTCTTGCAACCTCGCAATTTTTACACTTTTTTTCCCCCGTTTTTTTAATGGCTGCTTTTTTCCTCCAAGTAGGGAGAGCCCTTAGTATGACTGCTTTTTAACATGGTCCGAGAGAATTGTGCTTCAGACCCGGACCGGCCAGAAGGCAGTCGCTCCTGGGCGTGCACGTCTCCGGGCGCTGCATACCGTGTCGTTGGGGTCTTGCTGTCGAGATCGGCCTCCCAGGCAGCTCCGTGGTGCACCACGGAGGCTGTGTAGGGCAGGCAGGGACCCGAGACGAGTGTTCATGTCATGTCACTCCCACGGCCCCTTCCTGGCCCGCCTCCTCCGTTGGCTCCCGGCCGTCGGCTTCTGTCAGGGCCCCCAGTCCTGGCAGGAGGTGTGTGATTTTGAGTCTGAGGCTGGGACTGAGAAGAACCTTCTGTGGCAGACGGTCTGTCTATATCCCATGGGTTTTCTTTGTACCTGTGCCCGTTGCATATGTTCCCACGCAGAAGAGTCGCCAGGAACGACTTGGCAGCTTCGAAAGGCGAAGCGTGTGTTTGCACGTGGGGAAGGCTGTGTAGGAAGCCTGTTTCTCTCCGTGGGCTCCCCGCTTCATCGCTGCCTCCAGCATCCCTCGTGTTCAAGATGCTGTTTTGTTCTCTAACTGGGTGGCTCGCTGTCTGCTCATGCCTCCAGGGACATGACCTTACGACACTTTATCTCCATGGCACGGGAAGGTCTCTGGGGTCCACTGACGAGACTGAAAGCGATCGTTGGTGCCATCGTTACTTTTCTGTGTCACACCATCGTGGACTGCACAGTGATGTCACCGTGCTGTCACCTGGGAAACTGATCAAGGCAGAAGGTCAGTCCTCCGTGGCATTCCAGCAGCAAAAGCCATCACTACCGTGCTCTGAAGTAGATGTCACTTTGGAGGGGGTTTGCGTGGAAGCTCTGTCTCAGGGATGGTTACAAAGGCCCCAGGATGCTGAGGCGAGGGACCAGGCGGGGGTGAACAGAACAGGCGTGTCCTGTCCTGGGGCTGGCCTCCGGCGCAACTAAGGAAAGAGTTTCCCCCTTGAGCCCTTCCTGCATGGCTTCATGGACCAGTAGGTAGATTCCAGGTTTTAAATTTTGGTTAAAGTCTAACTTTCCATTGTGGCCGTTTCAAAGGATGGCTGGATGCCGGGGGTGTTTCTTTCCAGAGGGATTTCAAAGTGGTGCTGGGACAGAGCCAGTTTGGGAGGCGCTGGAGACCGTGGACCTATCCTTCCCAGACCCCCTCCACTTTGGAAAACCCACTAAAAGTCCTGCATCTAAATCTGAAGGTGGGGGGAGCCCTATGCAGTGGGACTCCTCTCTTTAAGAATTTTCGTTTGAGGTTTGTCTCAAATAAAATGTGTTAAAAACACTTCGCAGAAAATAGAGGACATCTGTGCCTCTTACTACTTTGTCAGTCCTGACTCCCTTTGAAGTCCCAGGCACCAGAAGTGTGTCTGGGATTTATTTTGCCTTTATTTCCGATCTAGTCACACTTCCTGCCCCACCCCCAACCCTTTCTCAAGCAGGTTCAGGCCGAGAGCAGGCTGATCAGCTAGCAGTCCTGCAGTAGTGATTTCTAGAAACTCCACGTGACAGAGGAGTCAGAGCCTTTGTAGCACCGTGGCCCTTGGGATGCTCTGACCTGAGCCGCTGCCTCACACCTCACTGTTTCCTTTAGGGATTTGCTCCTTTGGTGGAATCTTCAGATTTTAGAAATCGTGACTTGTCCATGATTTACTGCAGTGGCTGAAGTTACGTGACTTGCACCAGAATTTGGAAATGGACAATGGTAGCCCCCCTGTCATTTCCCATCCAGCTTTTAACTTCTTTGTTGCTATATTCAAGGTACAGTAGGTTCCCACCTCAGACAAAGAACATAGCCCAGTTCAAATCCCAGGAAGGTCAACAGATTGTGCCCCAAGTGTCAGGGTTGCTACAGTTCCGTGACGTGTTTCAGAGGCTGAGAGCAGCAAAGAGCTCACCTACATACCGACCACCCACTTCCGCCAGTGCGGGATGCACGCCCCCACCTCCCTGGGGGTGTTGCAAGGCAGGGCAGCTTCTCGTGCTGCTGCCCAGCTGGTAACACTCAGCTGGTGGGGAGCCCATCCGCAAGTACCGACCACCTTCCAAGGAACCCATCTCCCAAGCCAGCAATCCGGTTTTACTTCCTATCTCCCTAGAAAGCTCAGAAGAAAGTGCCTTGGTTTGTGCTCTGAAGCCCACCAGCCAGCTCTCTGGCTCTTCTCCAGTACTGTGATAGAAAGTGACGGAACTGGAATCTTCCAAGGAGATACGGTATTAACAGACCGCAAAACAGAAAAAGCATCAAATTTTTGCTTCTGGCTGGAAAGACCACCGGTCTCAGCTGCAAAAGTCTGAGCACACCAAGTGTTCCTGAGCCCTCAGAGAAAGCTGTGAGCCCTCATCTAATCTGGTCTTACCGGTCAAGGTTTGGTTATGGCCGTGGGGAGGACGAAGTGGGGGCTGGGGCCGAGGGGAGCCCCGCGCGAGCACTTTGCAGTGAATTAAGCTGCTGCTAGGGAGCCCCAGCTTCCTGGAAATAATTGTTCAGTTCCAAAATGGAGGCCACGTTGTGAGGGGATATTGGAGGTGGTGTTTTGTCTTCAGTTCTGGGAAGGGGGAGCCAAGACTGGCTTGGCAGGATCATGGCTCCCAAAGTTAAAGCAGATGGGGACTGGTGTGTCACCCACCCGCCAAGGAGTCTGCAAGCAGCCCGTCCCCACTCGTGCTGGAGGGAACACCAAGAATGTGCTGGACCCCAGGCCCCACGGGCGCCCTCCAGGCAGGACTACAGGGGTGCCTCGCTCACAGACTGCCCAGCGCTGGCTGGCTGTACAGCTTGGGGTGAAAAAAAAAAAAAAAAAAAAAAGCCACCTTTTAAAAAGGCCGCAGTGAAAAGCGTAGTCTGTGATGAATTCGTATCTGTTATTTTTGGAGAGCTATTTTATTACTGCATGTTCTTCTGTCCAAGCGTGTGAACGCTGAGTCCCACCACCGCGTGAGCTGCGCTCATCCCAGCACACGCCCCTCGGACACCCGTGTGACCGCATCTCCTGGGTGGGGCTACACCGGAGTTTAACCAGAGTCAATGCCAAACAAATAGTCTGAGAAGTGTACTTTTTAAGAAATTAATTTATTTGAGTTCAGATATTTTTGAAATATAAAAATTGGTTGTATTTTTTAAAAGCTATTAATTCTTGTAGACATTCTGTGGTTACAAATTTGATTGTGCTTATTATTAAAAATGGTCATCTATGTTTTGCACTTCAGCTTTGTGAAAAATAAAGTTTCTCTGGGAAGGTGACATTTGGTTTCCTGATTATAGGAGGGAGCTGGTTATCCTGCACAGGGCAGGGAACCCCCCCCACCCCCGCCACCGCTGGTTCTCACCCCCGATAAGACCTAGCACACACACACCCCCAAGGGGTGGGGGGTGAAGGAAACTTTTCACAATGTCCTGAGCTGCTGTGGAGAAATTCCCACCATACTGGGGGGCACCTTGTACAACTCACCAGAAGCTTCAAAATTTCTCTTCTTAGTTGTGACAGCCGTCAGTCAGTCCTACTTTGGCAGCCCTCCACATAGTAAGATACCAAGAAGGGGCAGCTCTGAATTTGAGTGGTTGTCTATCGCAGTGTGGGGGAACCCAGTAACTCAGAGAAGGGTGAGTACACCTACTGAGGTCTTTCCAGTCGCCTGCCCTGAACCCAGTCTAAGTATTTCATTTTTCCAGAAGAACTATTTATACAACTGAGAGAAAGGGTCAAATGTAAACGCCTTGATAACATTGTCCCTAAATTACTAACAATGGGTCTTAAAAACAAATTTTGATTTGTGAATTCGTGAAGGAGGTTAATTTGAGGAAAGCCCAAAAAGAAACCCCCTCAGAGGGCATGGAGAAGTTGATGCAGCTGGGTCCTGCATGGGGCCACTCTTCGTCTCATCTCAGAAGGGCACCAGGTTCCTGGGCAGGGGTGGGCAGGCGGGCAGCTCCTCTAGAACTCAGGCAGGCCAGGCAGAGGGAACAGAGATGCGAAGCTCTCCACTTCCTCCCTGAGCGCCCTGATGGCCTGTTGGTGCTTCTCGTCCCCTGCCAGTTTCTCTCTGAACTCCTTCAGGGTGGCCTTGGCCCCAACGTCGTTCTGTATATGCAGAGTCAGTTCTATTCCTGTGCCGGCAGGAGACAAAACGAGTCCTGTGCGGGCTGGCAGACAGCCACGATTTTGCCCCCATCTATGCCTCCAGAATCCCTTCGAGTCTATCCCCAGAGCCCAACTACCATGCTAGAACTTTGGCCCAAGAAATGTAACACAGGAGAGGTACAGAAGGAAAGAGCAGCGAGGATTCTTACCTGGACAGGTGTTCTGATCACAAGCAATAGAACAGACTTCTCGAACTGTGCTGTGCTGCAGCTCAGCGGGCCCAAGAACACACCTGAGGCTTAACTATCGATGTGTGCCCAGCAGCGGGGGTGTTAGAGCCGTAGGTGTGAAGCTAGACCTCAGAAATGATTCTCGTGTGCCCCCTTCCTTGGGCAGGACGAGTGTACCGCCCTCTCAGACTACACGGTTTGTTTTTCCTATCTCTTGTCCCCCACACTCCGCCTAGACATGGACTGTCCTTCAGCGGCTGGGTCTCAACTGCTCGGTTCCAATCAGAAACCCCAGACGCAGATCGGAGTGGCCGACTTCCAAACCTTTATCCTCACCTCGGTGAATAAACTGGGCTACTTTCTGGAACTCTTTTTCCAATAGTCCTCTCGATGTCAGGGCTGGAGTCCCCAGACGCAGTCCGCTGGGCCGCAGTGCGCTTTTGTCACCTTCAAGATAAACAGGCTCTGTCCCTGGGCCGTACCTGACTCACCACTGACCGCTGTGCATTTAAGACTCTTAGCCAAAAAAAGTGGCCTGTGGATGGCAGCTGTTTCTAGGAAGCAGAGTGCTGCCAGCTGAAATGCCAGAGGCAGGAACAAAGGCACAGGGAGACAGCTGCGCATTTTGGCCACTGTACTGAAATAGGAGGTTGCTTTCCCTGTCTTAGCCCTTGCTCTGCAAAGCAAGGCTAGCATCTGTGTTAGCTGCATCACCCACATTCTTACAACACCCTGAGACATCCAGCCTGTCCCAGAGGCCCCTGCTTCCCTCACCCAAATGCCTGTGACACCTGCAAGCAGCCCGTCTCAGTCCCTCCCTCTGTTGCCAGGAGGTTTCAAGCTGTGTCGGAAGCAACAGGCTGGGAGACAGCCACGATGTTGCCACAATGTTGCCCCCATGTATGTACCCCCTCCAAAATCCCTTCGTGTCTGTCCCCAGAGCCCAATTACCATCAACTAGAATTCTGGCCAAAAGAAATGTATTTGGCCAGAAAGATTCTTACCTGGACAGGTGTTCTTATTACAGGCAATAGAACAGGCTTCTAGAACCTTCTCAGCCCTTCCGCCATCTGTGCCTTTGGAACGGAGATCCACGAGGATCAAATGGTTGTCAGAACCACCTGAAAAGCCAAGTCGGACATGCAGGAATAGAGAAACCTGATTCCATGCCAAGTGAAGGAGTCTCCCTCTTCCTAAGAAGCGAGGGTAAGGCTGAAGGAGGCCCAAGGCCCAAGCAGAGGTTAGGAAGGTGAGCACCCCACCATGTGTGCTGGAAGGCTTTAATCCCCTGCCAAACAAAAGATGCCCCAGGGCTGAAGGGTACGGGCTGAGGGGAACCCCCAGTGGCTTTCCCAGCTCACTGCTGTGCCCCAGCACCTGGCATGGGCCAAGGGCCTGACAGCTTGTCTGGGGAGTGACAGCTTATTCAGTGCCAGTGGTAGATCCCACTGGTTCTGACACATCATTTGGGAGTTCCCCATGTGTCCCTGAACTCCATCTACAAGACCCCCTCAAAGGCAACCTCAGAGTAGCAAGGAGTGGCTGACTTTGGGGAGCACACAGGAAGTGCCAGGCTCTGCTGGGCTGCCTTGCATTTTATCCCTAATCCCGCCAGGCTGACAATGTTTACACTGTTATCAAAGCGGTACAGATGAGGGGTGCCTGGGTGGCTCAGTCAGTCAAGTGTCTGACTTCAGCTCAGATCATGACCTCAGGGTCCTGGGATCAAGCCCTACATCGGGCTCCCTGCTCAGCGTCTGCCCCTCTCCCCCATACGCACACTCTACCTCTCTTGCATAAATGAATAAAATATTTAAAAAATAGAAAAAATAATAAAAATGAAAATAAAGTAAAAGCTGTAATTCAGAAGGCTCTTGCGAAGTTTCAGTATGGTGCCATCTGTAGCCCCCTGCCCGCAGCAGGCACAGAGCAGGTTATCACAAACTCTGGCTTACAAGTCACCATTATCTGCTTCTGCCACTTGCACTGTATCCTCAGAACAGAGTGAACCAGGGGTGCGGGCAGGCCTGGGAGCTCAGGAAGGTGGAGACGTCTCTCCTGAGACCCCCGTGAGGCCTTGGGCAGCACCGGGCTGCCACATGCTGTCTGTAGCCAGAGGGAGTCTGGTCTAACTCCGCCCAGTGCCAAGTGCGGTTCCCATGCCAGCATCCCTTAAGAGCCAGGTGACCTGCTGAGTCAGACCTGCACTTTTACAGAGCCTGGAGGACTGCGTGCATATCCAAGCTTGACAGAGGAGAAAAGGAAAGAAAGGAAGTGGAGAGAATCAGAGAAGCGTGCGCCCCAGGATTGCTGAGGAGCCAGCGGGTGAGGCTTCAGCATCACCCCAAGGAGCAGGGGCGCCTGCCCGGGGATTCGGTCGGTACCTGTCACCACTTTGTAGCCCAGCTCCATCAGGGTCTGTGCTAGCACCTGGCAGTTGGCCACCACCTGTCGCTGGTAAAGTCTGAACTCCGGAGTCAGAGCCTGCTTCAGGGCCACAGCGACCCCTAGCGAGAGGAGAGGATGCGTCAGGAAGGCAGGATGGGACCAGCCGGCCCAGCTGGAGTCAGTGGACACTCCTTGCTTCCACTCAGGCCTCCTTGTCAGTGCCCCACAAATGGTATCTATTTTTAACCCTACAACTACCCGGCTAACCCTGCAGACCTCTCCTTTTCGAGGAGCAAGTTTCGTGCTAATATCATTACCACAAGGAAGCTGTTCTTCTGCAAGATGGATTTTACCGTCCTTTTTAAGCTCAGTGTACGGACACGAGAACTCAGCTGCCCCAGATGCTTCTGCTCTGGTGCCAAATTATGCAAATCTCCCGAGGAGAGGTCAGGGAGAGGTGCCAGCTGTTCTACCAGGGCGTCCAGACTCCTCCGTCTGGTCCCTTGTTCAATCCGAAGGGCCACTGAAGGGGGCACAGAAGTGAAGGAGAAGGCAAAGTAAGCATTGCAATGTGCGGGTCCCGAAGCCTCTTGTCAGTGTTGGTGGAAATGACTAGAAAAGGCCCAGAGTGGCTGGAGAGCGGGTGATCCCATCACTCAGGGGTTGGAGAAACCAGACTCAGGGTCTGGAGGCGTAAAGGGGGTACTGGGAAAACACCCTGTGGAAACCCGCAGGAAACCCTTCCGCCCCCTCCCCACGTCCCCTCTCCCCCCTTGAGAAACACCGGGGCTTCTCGACGGAGGCCCTGTGTCTTCATCCTGGGCTTCTCTACCAAACCGCTCTGTTCCACAGAAGATGCTGGAATGACTCTGAGATCACCACACATCTCTTAAGCCATTTGTACAGAGAAGGAGCAAGTCACTGGCAGCCTACTGGGTAATCTGTCAGCGGTGCTAGGGGCAGGATGTCGGGACAAGGTGACTTGTCCTCTCAGGGTTCGCACACTAACCGCTCACCCCGTCTGCTGTGTCGCCTCCCAATTGTTCAATTCCTTTCCTGCTGTTTCCTGACTAGGACTGTGCCATGGGTGAGGGTGCTCCCCACCCCCAAGCGCCACCTGAGGCCTCATCTGGGGATGTTTTACCAGCAATGGCGTGGTTGTGGGGACCGCCCTGAAGGCCTGGGAACACAGCGGAGTTGATGAGCGACTCTAGGTTGTACAGAGTCTCTTTGCCCGTCTTGGGATCCACGCTGCGCACTCCTGGATGAAGGAAAACAGCAGAATGGGAACGTCAGCCGGGCTGTCGCCTGTTTCCTCCCCACCGGGACTCCAACTCACACCGGCTGCGGGGCCCTAAGCACAAGCCTGGCCTCTAGTCCTGAGGGCGAGGCCTGGTCCCTCATGCTGTAGAGCCCAGGGGCCCCTTGCTTGCAGAGCTGGGCTGACCAGGGCTGACCACCCTTTCATAGATGAATCAAAGGATAAAAATTTCCCTCCACCAAGACTGTAACGAAGACTATGCCTCGGGCACATTTCCTCAAAGATGCATCCAAGATAGCGGTCTTCCCAGATGATGACTTTGAAGAGGAGAAAACTCATTTGTATAATGATATATATTAATTATATAATAACGGCTCTAATGGGGACTGGGAGTCCTTTCTGAAAAAAATGTTAATGCGCTGTAGTAACTAATGTCTCTACAGAGCTTCTTGGGAACGAGGAACCACTTGAGGCACTTTACATAAATTAATGAATGAATGCTCCCAGCACTGGTCTGAAGGGACTGGTGCTCTTATTAGGATGCCCGCTCTGGAGGTGTGGAAATGAGGCACAGAGAGGCTGGACAACGAGCCCAGGATCACACAGCGTTGATGTGCCAGATTCAGGAGTCACTCAGGCTAGCCACACACCAGCGCTCCTTGGGAAGGAACACACTTCCCAGCCAGGTGGGAATGGCTACCTGCCTCAGAACTGCTGACACAACAGAAAAAGGTCCTCAGAGACAATAGCGCACTAAGAAGGCATGTGGGCGCGTCCAGCCAGCCCCAGGGAAGGGGGCCTGACTAGGAGACTGTAGGGCAGAGAGACTCCATTGCGGGTGGGCATGCATCCGGTCTCACCACAGGCCGAATGATCCCATCAGAACCTGGCTTTCCCAGGTGTGGGGATCCCAAAATAAAGGGATCCTGTGGGCTGTGGGCTGCAGGCATTCAACCGAGAATCCTCACTAAAAGAACTACAGTGATAACTGTGGTTTCTATATCAGTGTCTTATGATTTGTTTACTGTGAGTCATCCTTTGCAAAAGGCATGCTCTACCAGCGTTAAGTTTGCCAAAGTAAGGCTGCACAGTGAGGGCTCTGGTAGCCCCTGGCCAGCCATGCACACCCTCCATTCACCTCTTATAGGGAGGACTAGTTGACCCACAGCACAATACCCTTCCTCCTTCCCCAGCACCAGCCACCCAAGGAATGAAACAAGAGCCGTGCTCAGAGCTTGCTTCTAGATCTCCTCTGCAGCCCTGCCATTGCCCCCTCCTGTGTAGCTCCTGCAGGAACCCTTCAAGGGATCCTGGTTTCCCTAGCTTCCCAAACTGAACATGAACCCCAGAGGAGAAAGGCCAACACCAGTACCCCGCCAGTACCTCACCCCCTGGAGCCCACCTCTCCTATAGAAGATCATGCCGGCTCGGCAGCCTCTCAGGGTTTTGTGGGTGGTGGTGGACACCACGTGGCAGTGCTCAAAGGGGGAGGGCACCACACCAGCCGCCACCAGCCCGCTGATGTGCGCCATGTCCGCCATGAGATACGCCCCGTTCTCGTCTGCAATCTTCCTCAGTCGAGCGTAGTCCAGGTTTCGGGAGTAGCAGCTGGTTCCTGAGACAGCAGGGGTGACAGTCAAGTAAGACCTACCCACGGCCAGCCAAGAGTCGCCGGAAGTGCAGACCTGTAAAGCGGCCTCTGGATAGGCATATCCGACAGCCTGGAAATTTCTCCCTCTAACATCCCTGAGAACGGAAATGGAAAACCACCTCCCCAAAACATCTTGGTGCCAAAGGCCACCACTCTGACCTGCCTTTTGAGGTCAGGGGCCTCTTCACGGTGGTTGGGACAGCCGCTAATTATTATTACCTCCACCGATTAGACGGGGGTTAATATTTCTAGATGCTTCTAACAGTGATATTTGTCCTGAAAGAAAAGAATCTACTTAGACCCCAGAAGGCCAGCCCTTCAGACAGGGACTAGCAGTGAGCCAGGGAACATCTCCACATCTTCATTTAATAAGAGGCATGAAGGGCGACTGGGTGGCTCAGTCGTTGGGCTCAGGTCATGATCCCAGAGTCCTGGGATTGAGCCCCACATTGGGCGCTCTGCTCAGCGGGAAGCCTGCTTCTCCCTCTCCCACTCTCCCTGCTTGTGTTCCCTCTCTCACTGTGTCTCTCTCTCAAATAAATAAAATCTTTCAAAAAAAGTAAGAGGCATGGGAGCTGCTGACAAAGGCAGATCCTTTACCCCCCACTCATCACCTGCGATAATGAGCTTCGGGTGGAAGAGGCGGGCATTTTCCTCTAGTTGGTCATAGTTGATGTAGCCGGTGTCTGGGTTCACCTGTGGGATGTCACAGAGACCGGGGGCTCGGGCGGCGTCCTCCGCCACACCGGGCCTGTCCTCCCACTGGAACTCGAGCCAGCTATCAAGGTAAGATGACTTTCTGCACCTGCCCAAAACCTGTTTGCTCCCCTCCACCATGGATGCAGGAAAGCTGTCCCAGGATGAGACTCGAGGGCGAGATGGGGTACCAGTGTGTCTGGCTTGCACAAGTGGTGTGGACAACTAGGCATTGCTCATAGGGGCAGGATGCCCTGAGGGGTCCCCAGAGGAAAAGGGAGCCCTGGCCTGGGGCTCTAGCCGGGAGAACAAGAACTAAAAAGCCACCACGGAATAAAAGAGGAACGACAAACATGCACCATGCAATGAGGATGCTGAAACGCCGTTACCTTTGGGAAAGAGACAAGCTGCTGCTAACAGCTCTTCTAGTCCAAGTACAGAGAGGCAAGAGAAAGAAAGACACAAGGATCACAAGATGTGAAAAGCTGACATTACTCACAGATAGCATGACAGCATGCCTGGAAAATCCAAGCTTCTGGTGGCACGCTATTAGAATTAGTAACTGAATTTAGCAGGGTCCCTGGATGCAGGTCAAACCCCCAAAATCAGTTACATTCATGCATATAAGCAACAAAAAATAGGAAATGAAATGTTAAGAACATTACATTCATTTCAAAAGCCATGAAATATCGAAGCTATATAAGACCTCCACACATAACATTTTTTTAAAGATTTATTTATTTTAGAGAGAGAGAGAGTGTGTGAGCAGGGGGAAGGGTTGTGGGGGGGAGAGAGAAGCAGACTCCCCGCTGAGCACGGAGCCCCACCTGGGGCCTGATCTCATAACTCTGAGATCATGACCTGAGCCGAAATCAAGAGTCAGGCGCTTAACCAACTGAGCCACCCAAGCGCCCCCACACAAAATATTATTCAGAGAAATTAAAAAACACATAAAGCTATAGTGATTAAGGCAGCACACGTTTGTGGAAGGACAAGAACAGAAGAGAGCCCAGAAACAGGACGCCTAGTGACAGAGGGTCATCTAATCGAGGACAACAGTGATGCTGCAGGGGAACGGTTGGTCTTCCAGGATGTGGAACTAGGCCCACTGGACGTCCACGTGGAAAAATGTTGTCTGGATGCCCACCTCACCGCCCCCCACAGAAATCAATTCCAGACAGGCTGTGGATCCACGTACCTGTGAAACATCAAACATTTTTTCCCCTTTTTGGCGACATGTGTCTTAGTAAAATCAGTGTACTGAAGTTGCATTAAAGCATTTGTGCCAAGGGGAATAAAAATCAAAGGGAAAGATTTTAGGGGTGTGGGGCATGGGAGCTCTCCAGAGAGGAGGTGGTGGGAGGAGCCTCTGCCCCCGGGGGGCAAGGCTCGGGTCCCGTGGCCACCCTTTCCAGTGAACACGATTACAGAAGCTTGTGTGCAACCAAGACCTCACTGGAAAGGCAGGCAGAAGGACCGGCTGTGGTTCTGTTGCAAAGGGAATGAACTACTTCTTTCCAGTCACCTGCACTTGGCAGAGAAACTGTTACCTTGAAGAAAATCAACAGCTGACTCGCAGTGAAAAAAAACAGACAAAATTCTAAAAAAATTTTTAAAGACATAATTACCCACCCCTCAAAATATGTTGCTACTCTCCCTTCCACATTCTGCTTTTTAAACTTAAGGGATTTAAAAAAATTTTTTTTTCTCTTTTAGAAAATGCTAAATATTTGACAAAAGAAAACTCCGCTCCAAGGAGAATTCACGGGCATTTGTCAGAAACTGCAGAGGGGCTGGAGTGGTGTAGAGGGATGGGACGAGGGCCTCCCTTCTGTCACTTAGGACCTTCAGGGAGGGTACTACTTGGACACAGGAGAGACAGGGGGACAGAAGATTTGAGGTGCTTTTTCCCCACAGAGATGAAATGCCTAGCTATGTGTGGGACGGTTGTCTGGAGGGTGAGAACCCGCCGAGAGGCAGGGCAGGGAGAGGATGGGCAGGGAGGCAGGTTCAGGGGCAGAGGAGAGGCGTGGCAGCTGCTGCTGGAGGCCAGGCAGGTCTGTGTCTCCTTCCTGCACACGGCCGGTGCCCCTTTGGTGGGTGAACTGTGTCTCCTGCTGCCCAAGCTGGCCAAGCTCCTGCCACTCCGCACCCCTGCAGACCCACCACCACTGAGCCTCCAGCCTGTACCCAAGAGACTCTTGGGAAAAGGGGGGCTGGGTGGCTCAGTGGGTTAAGCATCTGACTCTTGATCTCAGCTCAGGTCTTGATCTCAGGGTCGTGCACTGAAACCCCACTTGGGCTCCGCGCTGGGCGTGGAGCCTACTTTAATTAATAAGGACATTGGGCTAAAGAGTAAGGCTGCCCAAGGCCTCATCTAAGATCAGAAAACAAGTCTGTGATTCCTCCCTGCCACTGTTCTTTCCACAGTGAAAGAAACTGTAGAAACCAGCTTTTGAGGGGAGCCTGGGTGGCTTGGCCGGTTAAGCATCTGCCTCCAGCTCAGGTCATGATCCCAGTATCCTGGGATCAAGTCCCACATCGGGCTCCCTGCTCAGCAGGGAGTCTGCTTCCCCCTTCCCCATGTTCTCTCTCTTTTTTTTAAAAAAAAAAAAAAGGAAAGGAAGAAACTGGCTTTTCTGTTATACATGCAAAGGCTGAGCACTGTGTCATTACTGTCATGTTTCAAAATCCACCTTCAGGGTCGGAGCTGGCCGACGAGGATACCTGTGGCCAGAAATGCCTGGGCTTTCCAGGAAAAGCAGCGAACCGTCACTTGCACACAAAAAGCACACATGCAGTTACGAGGACCGAGCCAAAGGCCGACAAATGGTGAACAGTCAAGGGTACTCAGCACAGGCCACGGGATGCCAAGATTGAAGGAACACTTTCCCTAAAGGAATAGGGACTTTCCCTAAAGGAATAAAATCCCGTGTCTGACCCTCAGCCAAGCTCAAGGAAGCGCTGCGACCTTTGCATGCCGTGGGACCCGTGAACTAGCTGGGGACGGCCCACGGGACAACAAACAGCAGGAGGAAATGGTTTCTGGACACAAGGGAGAGTCACCATGCACAACGGCTTCCCCATAACTGAGTCCACGGGTTACTGCCTTTGCCCCCAACCCCGGCATCAAGTTCACATATCAGCCCATGCATCGTCCGTACGCTGTTCCAACCCAGCTGTTTGTAATGACGAAGGCCCCACGTGACTACGTGTCAGTTGCAGGCCGGGCCTGTGGCTCACACAGGCTGTGGTTCACTGACAGATCTATGAGGGGTGGTAGGGTCCCGAGCATGGGGGTCAGGCTGCAGCTAAAACCTCCCCGACCCACCTCCCTGGGCTTCCGCTGCCCCCGGCGTGCCCCAAATGCCTGAGGAGTCCCAAGGGCAGGAGGGGACAGAGAGCAAAAAGCAGGGACTTCCTGGAGCATCTCAGAACAGGGCCACCTAGAGACCCACTTACCTTATAGGGCATAGACTCAAAAAAGATGGACGTGGCGGAGATTTTCTTCTTGTCTGTCATGAACCCGTGGGTCAGGTGGCCACCGTCGGGCAGGTCCAGGCCCATGATGCGCCCGTGGGGCTCCACTAGGGCGGTGTACACAGCGAAGTTGGCAGGGGAGCCTGGAAGGTGAGGCCAGAGGATGTCCCGGGAGGCCCCGAGCAGGCCCCCAGAGCTTGGCCACTAGGCCGTCAACCAGGAGTGGACAGAACAGGCCTGGCCCCCCACTGTGCAGCCAGCTCCCCAGAGATTCCCCCGCAGCAAACCCCAAGAATACGGGACAGGTGTATTCAGGAGGGGTGAGTTGGGAGGCGCCAAGGGCGATGGAGAGAGATGCACAGACCCATCTGTGGGTCTCTAAGCCCCAGTAGGGGCTTGGCCCATTTTCCGCTTCCGTTTACAGGCTGTCCTTCTTGGGACTGCCCTCTGTGAACGCCAGCAGGCAGGGGACGGCCCAGGCCTGTCTGGATGTGGCAGTTACCTGAGTAGGGCTGGACATTGACCCCCCAGCACTTGGGGTCCAGACCGTAGACCTGCAGCGCTCGATTTTGACAGAGGATCTCCAGCTCGTCGATGAACTCGGTCCCGCCATAATACCTGCGGAGAAAGTCGGCTTAGGCCCCTTGTGGCCCTGATCCTCTGTGCTTTGAACAAAGGCCAAAGAAGCTTCATGCTGGGACAGAAGAATGAAAGCTGAGGGGCAGTGAGAACGAGTCCCCCGAGACCCCATGCCACTCATCTTCCATCCGTGCTCAGTCGGCTTCATGACAGAGCGAGTACCTTCTCGTCTACAAGAAATTTTGACAGAGGCTGCATGGATGAACCCTGAGGACCTTGTCATCATGCTGAGTGACATCAGCCAGTTAAAACCGTGCAATCGCCCTTGCATCAGGTTGCAAGAGCAGTCAGAGCCCCAGAGCCAGAATGTGGAATGCGGCTTCCTCGGGGCTGGTGGGGAGGGAGAGGTTCTCCTGTTTTTTGTTTTAACAGTTCTAATTAAATTTGACTTGCTGTTTAATAATTAGTATGAAGATTTGTATGTTTTTTTCTCTGAATATTAATAATCTTAGTAACTCAATTCAGTAGACATTTTTAACCACGATGCCTTGTGGTCGGAGACAACCTTAAAAATTTTAAATTAGATATATATACTCTTTTTGGGGCACCTGGGCAGCTCAGTCGGTTGAGCACCCAACTCTTGATTGCTCAGGTCATGATACTGCGGTCATGGGATCAAGCCCCGCGTTGGGGTCCCTGTTCAGCAGGGTGTCTGCTTCTCCCTCTCCCTCCCCCACCCCCACCCTGTGCCAGCTCACACTCACTCTCTCTTGCTTTTGGGGCGCCTGTGTGGCTCAGTCAGTTAAGCAGCTGCCTTCGGCTCAGGTCATGATCCCAGTGTCCTGGGATCGAGTCCCACATTGGGCTGTTTGCTCTGCAGGGAGCCTGCTTCTCTCTCTGCCTCTACCTGCCACTCTGCCTGCCTGTGCGCTCTGACAAATAAATAAAATCTTTAAAAAAATAAACAGATAAATAAGTTTTTAAACACACACACACACACACACACACACATACTCTTTTCATCCTAGTAAAGAACACACAGCACAGAATTAACATCTTGACCCTTTCCAAGCATACAGCCCGATTGCATTAAGTACCTCACGCTGCCAAGTATATTCCCACCGCTGTGCAACAGACTTCTAGAACTTTCTCATCCTGCAAAACTGAAACTCTACACCCGCGAGGCAGCAGCTCCCACTGCCTCCCCATTGATCTCCGCCTCGCAACTGTCTTGATGATTCTAGACAGCTCTCAGTGGCATGAGGCACTATGCAGACTTTGGAGACTGGGTTACTGCACACAGCACAAGGTCCTTGTGGTTCACCTTTGATGTAGCACGTGTCGGGAACTCTTTCTGTTTTAAGGCCGAAGGGCTGTTGGTTATATGGGTTGATCACGTTTTGCTTATCTGTTCATCCACCCACAGACTCGTGGGCCACTCCCAGCTCTTGCTGTTGTGAATAATGCAGCCACGACAGAGTGTGGGAACTGGGAGGGGCTTCATGGAGGGATCTGGAAGGTCCCTTCCAGCGTTACATTCTCTGCTTTGTCACCAAAGAAAGGTATGGTGTCCTCCGAGCTTGAAGAAGCGCTGCCCATGACTGGGGAAGGGTGATGGACTTTCAGGAAGGTCAGGACTGCCAGGGGACTTAGCAATTAGCCATTTTCCAGGGAAGCAAACACAGGACGGGGATTCACAGTCACGGTGAGACCCCAGTGCCTCTGCCTGCCTTGCCCCAGACCCCTACAGAGGTGGCAGGGAGCTCTGGGAAGACCATGCGTGGCACAGACCTAGATCTAGAGGACGCAATCCTGGTTCTGCTCTTTACTGAAGGACTTGGAGCTGCCTCCTTCACCTGCCAAGTCCGATCCTTATCTGGAAAGGGGGTGAGAGGGCTGACTTTGCAGTCAGGCTGCGGGATACTTGAACATGACTGTGGTCACGCTCAGCCTGATGCCTAGACCACAGCACTGACTTTCACTCTCCATTTGAAGGCCACTGTCATCTCTCCAATCACCAACAAAGACAGAAGCGTTTTCGATGAAATGATGAGATAGGGTCAGTCAGATAAGGGTTAGAATTAGTGCCAATGCCCCAGGCTAAGGACCCAGGTTCACGAGTCCGCCCCCACTTCACACACCAGCCACAAGTCCTGGGCCCCCGAGGCAACCCACACCACTGTCCCCCTTGGCCACAAATTTGGGGGTCCCCACAAACCTCCTCTCAGGCTCATTCATTTCACCAGAACAACTCACAAAACTCAGGAAAGAAGTCACTGAATGTCAGTGCGTCTTGGCTTCCTCATCTGTACCATGTGGGAAAACAGCCCCTGCTTGGGGCTCCCCCGAGATCCCATGAGCTACGGTTGTGAAAACACCAGGGGAACCCTCGAAGGCACAGAGGAGAAGGTAGTTATTTAGGGCAGGATAAAGACTGTGTCTTCAACCTGATTCTCAGCCCTTCTCCCAAGAGCTTCAGGGGCATCTTGGAGTCGAGTGGTAGGCAGCGGGTCGAGGGGGACCCTTCTTTTCCCGTGGCCTTTGGGACACAAATATGCAAATCTGCAAAAACCTTACATCAGATTCTGTGATCGCCATCTTTGCTGATGACTGTAAAAAAACAAAAATGACTAGAACTTCTTGTGGCTCTCAGGGGGAAGAACTGACCAAATCGAACGTTTCTAACACAGCCATGACGGAGTCCGGTGTCGCTTCCGGGTCACCCCTGACAGAAACTCCATGACTCACAGAGCCACAGCCACCTTCCATGACACCCCTCACAGCGCTGACCTTTCTCTAGAGCCTCAACAACGGCCCAGCAGCTCCAGACTCTTTAGGGACTGGCCTGCTATTCTAGAAAGCCCCACAAAGGGACTGCTAAAGACGATGAGGACAGCTGCTCCAAGAACATGGGCGCTGCCACGTGCTGGGAACTGCAAAGGAGTTATGACAGGAGCGGAATAGGAATCCCCTTGTTCTGTAGGCTCAAGACTGACTCCGTAGCTCCCATCACTGTGTCAGAAGCAGGCCTGTGATGGCACTCACATACCTCTGGCCTGGGTACCCCTCAGAGTACTTGTTATTTAAGCAAGAGCCTAGGGCCTCCAAAACTGCCCGGCTGGCGAAATTCTCTGAGGCGATCAGCTCCAGTCCGACCCTCTGCCGGTTACTTTCTTTCTTGATGATGTCGTAAACCTGATGAGAGAAAAGGGAAGGTAAGCGGTGAACGTCTGGCCGATTCAGGTTAGCGTTTTGCTCTGATCCAAGCCATAACCGGGGGCACCTGGGTGGCTCAGTGGGTTAAGCCTCTGCCTTCCGCTCAGGTCATGATCTCAGGGTCCTGGAATCAAGCCCCGCATCGGGCTCTCGGCTCAGTGGGGAGCCTGCTTCCCTCTTCCCCTCTGCCTGCCTCTCTGCCTACTTGTGATCTGCCAAATAAATAAGTAAAATCTATTTTTTTTTTTTTAAGCCATAACCTAGTAAAGAGATGGGACACTAGGACAGATTCATATTTTGCCTACAGAAGCCAACTGAAACCCAAACAACCCAGCTGAGAAGACTCCCACAGCACTTAGAGAAGAGACGAAATCTTCCTTGGATTTTAGCACTTAGGGAGGAATTCACAGAAGACAATGAATTAAGGGAAACAAAATGAATGAAGAGAAAATGCTCCTTCAAATAAGCATCCCACTGAATTTTTCATTTTGTACCCTCTTGTTATTTTCATCCCTACGTTTCAACAAGTTTCTCCCTCCCTGAAGTTTATTCCTCATTCTTGATCCTTAAGATAAAAGTAGCTTTGGTAAACCCACAGAGGCAGGAAGTAGGCCAGCAGTGGCTGTGGGTGGGGGAGTTTGGGGGGGTGGGCATTACACGGGTAACTGCTTATGGGTTTTGGTTTCTCTTTGCGGGGGGATAAAAATGTTCTAAAATTGACTGCAGGGGCGCCTGGGTGGCTCAGTCGGTTAAGCATTTGCCTTCAGGTCATGATCCCGGGGTCCAGGGATCGAGTCCTGCGTCGGGCTCCCTGCTCAGTAGGGCATCTGCTTCTCTTCTCCCTCTCCTCCTGCTTGTGTTCTCTCAATTAAATAAATAAATAAATAAAATCTTAAAAAAAAAAAAAAAGTAAAATTGTGAACATATGAGAACCACCGACATACACACTTTAAGTGGGTGACTTACATGCTAAGTGAATGATCTCTCACCTCTAAAGCTGTTATAAAAACACATGAATAAGGGATGCCTTGGTGGCTCAGTGAGGTAAAGCCTTGCCTTTGGCTCGGGTCATGATCCCAGGCTCCTGGGATCGAGCCCCACATCAGGCTCTCTGCTCAGCGGGCAGCCTGCTTCCTCCTCTCTCTCTGCCTGCCTCTCTGCCTACTTGTGATCCCTGTCCATCAAATAAATAAAATCTTTAAAACAAAACAAAACAAGAACAAAAACAAACCACACAAATTAAAAGATGCTTCTCGGTGTCTAGATACCTGAACTGGAAGGAAAGGGTCAGATCTCAGTGGCCCCTCCAGTGGCCCTTTCCTCCGAACAGCCATAACAGTGCTCTGCACTCTGTGGAAACCCAGAAATATGCCCATTCCCCACAACGGGCTTTTAAAGATTTTTAAATTCTTATTTATTTTAGAGAGTGTGTGTGAGCGAGCAGGGCAAGGAGCAGAGGGAGAAGAAGACAGAATCTGAAGCAGACTCCATGTTCGGTGCAGAGCCAGACTCGGGGATCCATCCCATGACCCTGAGATCATGACCTGAGCCGAAACCAAGAATGGGACACTTAACCCGCTAAGCCACCCAGGCGTCCTCCCACAGAGGACTTTTGGCCACTTTCTCAGCCACGGCCCCTACACGCAGAGTTCTTACACTACCCGCAAGGCTGTCCTCAGTGGGGTTTACTTTGGAGTAGACCAGGAGTTGTAGGTAAGACTCCCGGTGCCTCACCTCAGTGTCGCTGTCTTTCAGCGGCTGTGCTAGCATTTTATTATGCGAGGACCACAGGTCAGCATCCTTTTGAGTCCCGTTGACTTCCGCCATCGTCGCGCTGGTTCAAAGTTGCCTGAAAATGGAAACACTCCCAGCATTAAATTCAGTTAAAGCTGCTGGTTCTCCCGAGTTGCTGAAGGACTGACGCGTTTTATGGCCTTTCCCTCACACGTGCTGGTCAACAGGATGGCCTTCTATTGCACAACCACTGCGTGGAACTTCTGGTTCCTTCTGGAAGTGTGGAGGTCAGCTGGGGATCCCGTAAGTAGCAAGAACTCCCCGCCCTCCCTCTAAGGCCTGCCCCAGCCTACAGAGCCTGGTACCCCTCTTCCCAACTCTATCTTTCCTGGTTTTGGGGCAGCTCCCCACCTAAACCAGGGGCCTTGAAGGCAAGAACTCAGTGTTACTTTTTTAAAAATCCCACACAAATGCCAGCATGGCCATATATATTTGCCAAATGGCTGAACAAACAAATTGCTGATTTCAGTGTTATTCTTCCCATTTTTCTTTTTTTTTTATGATTTTATTTACTTACTTGACAGACAGATATCACAAGTAGGCTGAGAGGCAGGCAGAGAGAGAGGAGGAAGCGGGCTCCCCACGGAGCAGAGAGCCCGATGCGGGGCTTGATCCCAGGACCCCAAGATCATGACCTGAGCCGAAGGGAGAGGTTTTAACCCACTGAGCCACCCAGCCCCCCCCCCTCATTTTTCAAGTAATGAAAATGAGGCTCAGGAAAGAAAAAATCTCTCAGCCCAGGCCTGCACAGCAGCTCGGCCATGAAGGATGGGCTCAAAACCCCCAAACACACATTCTGAGTGCCCCCCAGACTTCCTACTGTAGGAGCTATGAGTGAAGGCATGCACTGTTGCTTAAATAGACACCTTCCGGTAAAAACCGCAGCTCAGATTGACACGACTGTCTTTTTCATCAGAAAACGGCACCCCATGGGGTGCCTTTGGCTCAGGTCATGATCCCAGCATCCTGGGATCGAGCCCCGCATCGGGCTCCCTGCTCCGTGGAGAGCCTGCTTCTCCCTCTCCCTCTGCCTGCCATTCTGCCTACTTGTGCTCTCTCTGTGTCAAATAAATAAACAAAATCTTAAAAAAAAAAAAAGAAAAGAAAAGAAAAAGAAAAGAAAATGCCATCCTGTTAAAAGAGCTGAGAGGAAATTGCAAGCTTCTGTACCTTAGGTTTCTGCAGAGGATGACAATTTGTGGGCAGTGGCACACCCACCGGTGTGAAAGTTTAAATATTGACAGGAACCAACCTCCTTTAACCAGTAGTTGGCAGCTTTTCAGGGCTTTTCCCCGTCAGTTTGCTAAGTTGTCATTTCAGGACACTCATTCGCTGGCTATTTACTGAGAACCTTCCTGGAGGCAGTCACAGGGTTGGTACTGGGCACACGGTGGTGACCAAAACACGCGGGAGCCCTGCCCGGCAGCGAGCCAAACAGGTGACTTAACACAGTGAGCTAAAACTAGGAGAGTGGCATGGGGGACGAGAACAGGGTACTGGCATGAGCAGGGATCACTGTGGACAGCCAGGTCGGAGGACCTAGTGGAGGAGACAAACCCAGAGAACATCTAGGCTGAGAAAGAGCCAATCAGGAGGCAAGAGCCCATCGCCCAAGAGTACTGTGAATTAATAAGAAATATACATTGGTCTCTCCTCCTAAAACCCTTGCGATTTCCTGGGGGATAAGAGTGCATTTTGTTCTACTTAGGTGACTCTGGGTGGGCTCCTGGCAGGTCCACAGAGATGCAGCCAGGACCAGAGGCTTGGAATTTTCCATCCAGACTCCGCATTCTTCAAAGAGAGGAGAGGTCCTAGAAACGGAGTTAATGACTGATCGAGTGCAGGGGAGGAAGCCTCCCTAAGAATCCCCGAAGCATGGGGTCTGGAGGGCTTCCCCGTACCCAGAGGGTGGCGCACCCCAACTCTAGAGGGACAGAAGCTGTCACACGTGGGACTGTCCCACCCCTCACCCTAAGTATGTCTTTATCTGGTTGTTTATCTGTATCCTTCCTTTAAGCTGTTTTTTTACTATATGATGAACTGGTAAAGGTAAGCAAATGTTTCCTCGAGTTCTATGGGCTGTCTTAGCAATGACTGAATCCAAGGAAGGGGGGCGGCTCACGGGAACCTCCAATTTGTAGCCAAGTCCTATAGAAGCTGCAGGTAATGGGGAGACCTCCTACTTGTGGTTGGTGTCTGAAATGGGGGGCTGTCTTGTGGGACTGAGCCCTTAATCTGTGGGGTCCGTGTTAACTCCAACTAGTACCAGAACTGAACTGTGGGACCCCCAGCCAGTGTCCCAGAATTGCTGACACGCAGCAACAGGATTAACACTTGTACACTCACTTGCTAGACAAACATACACACTAAATAAGACAGCCCAACAGTCAGTCCCAAGTCACAAGTCCCTTAACCTCCCTAGAGCTCCAAAGAAGGAACTACCAGTAATGGGTTAACTGGGAAATTCCTCACTGGGGCTTTCAAAACAGCCATGATTTTAAGTCGAGCGCAGAGGGTTAGGAACAAGCCCCGTCGGCAAGCACTTTGGCTTCCTTGTAACACATGCTTCTGCAGCAACATCTGGCCTAACTTGCCAAGGGCAGGCAGGCATCCTGGGAAGTGACCAGCCATGTGCCACGTTGCTGTCCCAGGGGGAAAGATGGGGAAAATGGTTTTGGCACTCTGCCACCACTTTTCTCTGTTCTCCATGCTGATCCCTGCACTCAAGGATGGCCAGAACAACCCAAGGCTCTCTGCATCCGCCCACACACATGCCCTCCACAGGTGGTAAACCGCCCCCCCCAAAAAAGCACAAGAGCCAAAACAGGCATTCTGGTTCTAGAATCTCAAAGACCAAGCTTCTTCTAAATATGGATTAGTCGAAGAGGATTTGAAGGTGACAAGCAACACAGAGAAGATATTGCTCAAACCCCAGATAACCAAAGTCCACTTGGAGCCCTCCTCCAAGGCAGGTCAGATCTACAATCATTCTGGGAAAGGCAATCCCTGGCACCCTGCTCAGGACAAGGAACAAAGTCCCCACCTGCAACTCCCTGCTCACTGGCTTCCCTTGGGCAGAACGCACTCGAACTACAGCTCTGGCTGCACATCTTTTTCTTAGGGGAGATGCTAATTCTGAGTCAGTTACCTCTGAAACCCTGGGGGAGAGCGGCAGGCGGGACACGACATCCCCTCCCTCACCTAGGGGGAGGACTTTTCCACCCTCAGGATCAGGCCTCCTTCCCCAATACAGGGCACTTAGTCCACACCCTTAAGACCATACGATATTTTTTTGTTTTTGTTTTTAGATTGTATTTATTTACTTCAGGCAGGGCGGAGGCAGAAGCTGGCTCACTGCAAAGCAGGGAGCCCAATGCGGGAGTCTCCAAGGAACCCCGAACCCATCCCTTTCTTGAGTCCAGATGATGCTTTTTGTTTTAATCGTGAAAAAAAAAATTTTTTTTAAGATTTTTATTTATTTATTAATTTAACAGAGATCACAAGCAGGCAGAGAGGCAGGCAGAGGGGGCGAGGGGTGGGGGGAGCAGGCTTCCTGCTGAGCAGAGAGCCCGGGGCTCCAGGCTCAATCCCAGGACCCTGAAATCATGACCTGAGCCAAAGGCAGAGGCTTGACCCACTCAGCCACCCAGGTGTCCCAATCGTGAAGTTTCAATTCTTTATCCAAATAGAGAGTTCAGGGCACCAGAGTGGCACAGTTGGTTACACGTCTGCCTTTGGCTCTGGCCATGATCCCAGAGTCCTGGGATCCAGCTCCGCATCGGGCTCCCTGCTCAGGGGGAAGCCTGCTTCTCCCTCTCCCTCTGCTTGTTCTCTGTCTCAAATAAATAAATGAAATCTTAAAACAACAAAACACAACAGAGTTCAAGATTCTGTTAAGTCAATTATACCTACTACAGATAAAATCTATTGTCTACTAGGTCAATTAGATCTACTCTGTCCTGAAGCAATCTGAATTACAGTAAGAAGGACAAAGACCCGGGATGTAAATAGCTAATTTACGGGTCAACTTGACCAGATTTACTGATAACCTGGGAACTGATGAAACAAGAAAGAGATCCTCACCCTGTGTACCTATTAAAACGCAGAGAAAAAGCATCCTTTTTAGCTAATATATTTAGGCAAGAAATACTTCACATCTTCTCTTGAGATTTGTTGGAGTTTGGCTGAAAAATAACATACCTTGAACTTTGTCCTCATTTGTTTTTGAACTCTGATAAAAGACACATACCATTTACCATTTTAACCATTTTTAAATTAAAAATCATATTTAATATTTTTTCTATTTCACCCATTCACATCCGCTCTGGCAACAACCAGTTTGTTCTGTATTTAAGAGTCTAATTTTTTTTTCTTTGCTTGTTCGTTTTGTTTCTTAAATTCCACATATAAGTGTAATCACTATAGCATTTGTCATTCTCTGCCATTTTGACCATTTTTAGGTGCAATTCAGTGGCATTAAACCATCACCACCACCCGTCCCCCAAAACTTTCTCCTCGCCCCAAACTGCAATTCTGGGCACCTATTAAAACACCACTCCATTCCCTTCTCTCCAAGCTGGTGGTAACACCTGTCCTACTTACTATGAATTTGACCATGTAAATGGAATCACACAACAGTCACCCTTTTGTGTCTGGCTTATTTCATGCAGAGTGAGGTCTTCAGAGTTCATCCATGTGGTAGCACATGCCAGATCTCCCTCCCTTTTAAGTCAGGATAACATCCCACTGTCTGCAGACACCACACAGTACTTTCTTTAGCCATTTTTCCATTACTGACATTAGGCTGCTTCCACTTTTGGTCACTGTCAATGATGCAACCATGAACTTGAACAGATACCAAGTCCCTGCTTTCAATCCTTCTGCATATAGACCCAAAGAGGAATTGCTGGACCATACAGTAATTCTATATTTTGTTCAAAACAAGCTTTTGATAGTTAAGAGATCCACTCTACTACTAGTATTAGCCTACAGTGACTTCATTCATTCCTGCAACACATATTTACTGAGCAACTCCTATGTCCCAGGCTCTGAGCAAGGAACTAAGAATACGTGGGTCAAAAATCAGAGGCCTTGCTTTTGTGAGGTGCAGACTAATAAAAAAGTAAACAACAAATATACAAGATAGGGCTCCTGGGTGGCTCAGCGGATTAAGCCTCTGCCTTCGGTCTCTGACCTGGATCCTAGGATCCTAGGATGGAGCCCCCGCTTAGGGCTCTCTGCTCAGCAGGGAGCCTGCTTCCCCCTCTCTCTGCCTGTCTCTCTGCCTACTTGTGACCACTCTGTCAAATAAATAAATAAAATCTGGAAAAAAAAAAAAGAAATACACAAGATAATCTAAGGTGGGGTGACTGCCATGAGGCCAGTAAACGGGGGGAGGGCTTCTTTAGGCCAGGCCATGAAAGGTGTCTGAGCTAAGATCTGAATTGGGAAAGATCCAAGCTTCTGAGATCTAGGGTAAGAGCAAACACACCTTATCCTCCTAAATCATCCCTCACCTTATCATCTTTAGCACAAAGGCCCTAAAATGGTTAGAAGTTTGACTTGCTGAGGGCCAGAAATCAGGCCCATGTGGCTGAAGCTTGGGGAACAAAGCAGAGACACAAGAGATGATACTCAGAAGCAGTGAGCGCCGGGATGGGAGAACATTCTTCCCTTTGACCTTGCATACTTCATAAGTTTCAAACTGTGTTCTAGAAATCTTGGTCTTAAGCCATTTCTTAAGCCATCTGTGAAATCTGAAACTAACAACTAGAGAAACACAACTGGGGGAGATCAAGGCTCCCTGTGCCAAAAAGCAGGTGGGGGACACCTCTCCAGCTGGACCCCTCCAATCCTCCCATGTCCCAACAGTGAAGACTACACCCCAGGAAACTCCTAAAGCCAGCCTGATGGGTTCAAATCCCACTCTCCACTTCCTAACATGCAACCCCCCAGTTACTGACACCTGTTTCTCAGTCCCCTCATGTAAAATACGGGAGTGGAGATTGTTCAGAGTGGTCAAGGAGAGTTAAAAGCCACCGGACATACACGAGCACTCAAAACAGCATCAGGCACACAAGGCACGCAGTAAGTACCCCACTATCAGCTACTACAAAAGAAACAGAGGGACCTTACAGCCATCTTTGTTACCACTCAGGCATCTGGGCTGAGCACCCCGGGGAGGACAGCCCACTGCAGCCGTGACTATCATTATAGTGCTGGATATTTCTGTTGGGGAAATTGTCACTCATGCGTGGCATGATATTCACCTCAACCCCACGGAAAGAGACCTGTAAAGTGAATTTACTTGCCAAGGTCATCAGCCTCCCCACGGCCCCCAATCTTCCCTGGGCCTTTGTCATACAAGTGGAACCAGCCAGAAGTCTCCTGAGGGAACAATCCTGCTGAATGCCACCTGTGTGTCCCATGCTCAGATTTTGTGTTGCCCGATTTACAGAGGAGGAAACTGAGTCAGAGCATTAAGTGGTCTAAGGTCCTACAACAGAGTCAGAATCTGAACTCTGGTTTACTTTTAGTTCCAAAGCCCGTTCCCGTGACCCTGCGCTGAATTAAAGCACAGACTGCCCACCTCCAGGGCGTGTTCCCTCAAGTAAGAAATTTAAAATATGATTCCCTAAGAACATGAACTGGGGTTTCCAGTCTGGCAGCTGCCTGCCTAAAGACACATGTGTGCTGGCCTCATCGGATCAAGGGTCACTTGACTTCCAGGACCTCGAAGCACAGGGCAAGAGGCCAAGAACCCCACAGTGCAACGTTTGTCTCCTAGCACCGGGGCGGGGGGTGGGGGGGTGACAGTTGCAGACAACAGACGCAGCTGCTCCCCGGCAGGAAGCTGTTCGCACTCCCAAAAGCAGCGCGACCATATATGCAAGGCAAGAGCGCGCACGCTCGGAGAGCTTCCGTTGGATTCCCGGCTCTGCCATTTTGCTCTCTGCAGTGTCGCGCCTAAATCGGCTCCTCTCGTCGAGCCTCACCTTCCTCATCTGTAAAATGGGCTACGTGATAGCGCTCCACTTGCATCTCGGTTGAGGGCATTCTGCAGCCCCGTGAAGGGTGCACTTGAACTGAAAATGCTCTGTGAGAAAAGGGCTCAGTGGGGAGCGGCTACCTGATCAGCTGTTAAGCCTCCGCATCTGTGTCAAAGGCTGAGCCCACCACCCCTACCGCACCGACCCGTGACCAGGCACCGGGCATCCGGGCTCGCCGCCCTCCAGCCCCTCACCTTTTCCGGCTTCTCAGAGCTGCGGGGGCAGCGCGGCGGCAAGGCGCACAAAAAGAGCGCACACCCCAAGAGCGCTGGGGACACCAAGGTCCTGGCACCCGAAGCTGCCCACCTACCGGAACAGGGTCCCGCACACCAGCCCAGCGACCCTGAGGTCCCACGCTGCTGCCGCCGCGGCCAGAGTCCGAGACCCACCCGCCTGCGCTCGACTAGGTGCCCACCACGTGACACCTGCCCCGCGAGTCCGGAACCCAGAACTTGGCGCGCTCGGGGTTCGCGCACCACTCGGTGCCGGGCGCTTGCGGCCCGGTCCCGCCCCCGGAGGTACCCAATCAGAGCGGCAGCCCCGTCCCCCAAGGCGCAGGCGCTACTGGTTGCAGCGGAGCGGTGGGCGGGACTGCCCGGGCCGGGCTGCCCCTCCCCGCCCCGCCCCGCCCCGCCCGCGCGGGGTTGCACGGTGCAGCTGCTTACTTAGTCCTGGCTTCTGGCTAGGGGCGGGGGTTTCCAGGGTGTCCGCAGAGGGCCTGTCCCAATGGATCTGGGTAGGCGGCGGAATTATATTTGACATTTGCATTGTCCTATTTGCAGTTTAGCGCAGTGATCACTTAAATAGGACAAACGTGGGTTCGAACTCTGATCCTGTTACTACGTATGGATTCCTAGACCAGTCAATTTACGGGATTTTCATATTTCTTAACTTTGAGTCGGGACATAATTTCATCCGCCTGGCAGGACTCCCGGGAGGATTAACAGACATATCCGAAACACTTAACATCGTACCTGACATATTATAAGGGCTCATCAAACAGCCATTTTTAAGAATAATAAAACGAATTCTAGTCACACCCTCCTGAGAGCACACTCTTTTGCAACTAAGGCTTTTGGATTTCTGTGTCCAATTTTAGGAAGAATTCAGCTAAGTCCGTTTAACCAGAACACGCCCCCACCACTAACCTTCCGTATCTGGATTCCTTGTCCTCCACAATTCTTGGTGATGTCAGATCACCCTGGCCTGGTTAGTTTAGCCAGATTCCCCCTTAGCCCTGGTGTTTGCTCTTGTTAATTTACCACCCACTGACATCCCTCCCGCCTCCTTGGCTGTAGACTCCTCATTGCCCATGCTATATTCAGAGTTCAACCACTGCAACTGACCATCCAGCAAATTTGGTTTCTGGTAAGGGTTCTCTTCTTCTCACTACGTCTGCTCACATGGCCTTTCCTTGGCGTGTGTGTCTCTGGTGTCTGGTCTTATAGGGACACTAATCCTATCAGATCAAGGACCCACCCTTTCGCCTTCTCTGAACCTTAATCACCTCCTAAAGACCCAGATCTCCAAATACAGTCCAGTTGGGGGTTAGGCTTCTAACATAAGAATGGGCCGTGGGTGGGGAAGAGAGGGCGGGGAGGATGACACGATTCATTCCATAGCAATCAGAACAGCTAAAATTGAAAGGTCATGGCCATGCCAAAGGCTGGAGAAGAAGCTAAGAAACTCAATCATCCATCACTGGTAGAGATGTAAAATGGTACAGCCACTCTGGAAAAGTTTTTCAGTGTCTTAACAAACTAAACCTACACTTTCCATGTTACCTAGCACTCATACTCCTGGGATTTTACCCAGAGAAATGAACACTTTAGTCTATATGACCTATACATAAGTGTTCACAGCAGCTTTATTTGCAATACCCCCGAACTGGAAACAACTCAAATGTCCTTCATCAGGTGAATGGTTAAACCAACTATTGTGAGAGCTTTTCATTTTTCCAATCCCTATTTACAGAAGTCAAGATTCTAAAACCAATCGGCAGATCCAAAATCGATCTGCCTTGTGCTACAGAGAGTGATACAATCTTCAAAGAGATGAAGAGGGTCACAGTGAAGGAGATAACCAGGAGATGAGCGAGACAAGCAAGAGGGAAAAGCAAAAGTTGAGTCAAAAGGGAATATTTCAGCTAACACAGGTTTCCCATCAGCCTCTGATTCTAAAGAAGAAGGAGATGATTAAGAAGGTGAAAAGAGGGAGCCTGGGTGGCTCAGTGGGTTAAGCCACTGCCTTCAGCTCAGGTCATGATCTCAAGATCCTGGGATCGAGTCCCGCATCAGGCTCTCTGCTCAGCAGGGAGCCTGCTTTCCCCTCTCTCTCTCTGCCTGCCTCTCTGCCTACTTGTGATCTCTCTGTCAAATAAATAAATAAAACCTTTAAAAAAAAAAAAAGGAAGGTGAAAAGAAGCGGGGCGCCTGAGCGGCTCAGTTGGTTGGGCATCCAACTCTTGGTTTCAGCTCAGGGTCATGATCTCATGGATTGTGGGATCAAGCCCCACATTGAGCTCCACTTAAAAAAAAAAAAACAAAAAAAGAAAGAAACAAATGAAAAAACTGAGTACTGAACAACAGGTAACCTGCTATAATGAAAATAAATCTTTTTGGTTCAATGCACTAATTCAGTGGCCAGAAAGAGAATACAAATAGAGCAAACAAGAGATGGAAATCTTGAGACAGATTCATTGACTGAATATTCTAGATTCTGAATTGAGGACTTCATTGTCAATAGCATTATTCCTGTGTTACAACTGTTGTAAAAATTTCCCGTAAGGTACACACTATGTACTGAGGCAGGCCATCATCCTGTTGAAAGTTTGTTATTTTTTTTTTTTTTTACCAAGCTTAAGATAAAGCTATGTGTTTGAAAGTTATAAGTTCCGAGGAAGACAGAAATCATACATTATATCACTTAGAAAAAATAAAAATGTATTTTGTCTGGATGTTAGGTTTTAAGCTGGAAGAGCTAAATGTGCCCTCAGAAATGGGCCAATTGTGCCCTTCCCCTGACATTCCTTTGTTGTGTGATTCTTGAGAATCCCAATACTTGTTGTGGTTTTTTAAAATCCTAAGGGATTTGGGGCGCCTGGGTGGCTCAGTGGGTTAAAACCTCTGCCTTCAGCTCAGGTCATGATCTCAGGGTCCTGGGATTGAGCCCCGCATCCGGCTCTCTGCTCAGCAGGGAGCCTGCTTCCTCCTCTCTCTCTCTCTCTGCCTGCCTCTCTGCCTTCTTGTAATCTCTCTCTGTCAAATAAATAAATAAAATCTTTTAAAAAATTAAAAAAAATTCTTAAATCCTAAGGGATTAAATGGTAGACTTGGAAGAAAAAGAAATTTGTGCTGGAATACCAGTCAGCAATAGAAAGTACTGACCTGTTGATACACATAACAATTTGGATGGATCTCTATAGTTATAGAAGATGTGGCCATGAGAGAAACTGGGTGAAGGGTACACAGGCTCTCTTTGTACTATCTTAGAAATTTCCTGTGAATTACAATTATTTTGAAATAAGAAAATAACTTCTAGGAAAAGTCTCAGAGATCAAACAGATCCACAAGTAACTTAACTATCTTCCAGAACAAAGTTCAAAACATTAAAAAAAAAAAAAGACAACAAAGTCTTGGGGCACCTGGGTGGCTCAGTGGGTTAAGCCTCTGCCTTCAGCTCAGGTCATGATCTCAGGGTCCTGGGATTGATTGGGCTGTCTGCTCAGCGGGGAGCCTGCTTCCCCCCCACCTCTGCCTGCCTCTCTGCCTACTTGTGATTTCTCTCTGTGACAAATAAATAAATACAATCTTTAAAAAAAATAAAAATAAAAATAAAAAAAGACAACAAAGTCTAGATAGTCAACCAATATCATCCACAGTGTCCTGTATCCAATCGAAAGTTAAGAGACATGCCAAGAAGCAGAAACATGTGACCTATAACTAGGAGAAGATATCAATAAATAGAAACAGATGCAGAAATGTTAAAGGTGTTGAAACATGCAGATAAGAATAAGAAAACAGCTTTTATAATTGTGCCCAAGCATTTAAAAGCATACATGAATACAGTGAGAAGGGAAATCAGTATAATCAAAAGCTTTAGAAAAATCAAAAAATTGGGGCACGTGGGTGGCTCAGTTGGTTCAGCATCCCACTCTTGATTTCAGCTCAGGTCATGATCTCAGGGTTGTGAGATCAAGCCCCAAGTCGACCCACTTGTGCTCAGTGGGGAATCTGCTTCAAGATTCTCTCTCTTCCTCTTTCCTTTACCCTGAGCTCTCTCTTGAATAAATAAATAAATCTTTCAAAAATTCAACAAAATTTATAAGACTTTACCTAGAATAATCAAGAAAATAAGAGAGAAGGTAAAAATTACATGACTACATACCATAAAATTGTTGAAAGAATAGTAAGAGAATTAAACAAAACAGACGAACTCCCTCAAAGACACAAATTACCAAAACTCACTTAAGAAGAAATAGAAATTATGAATAATCTTATATCAAGTAAAGACCTTGAATTCATATTTTTTAAAAAGTTCCCACAAATAAGACTCCAGGCCAATGTAGTGTTCCTACCTATCAAACATTTAAGAAATAATGCCAATTCTATACAAAGTTTTTCAGAAAAATAGAGAAGTAGTAAACACCTTCCAACACATTTCAAGAGCCCAGCATTACTTATTAGAAAAACTAGACAAAAATCATTACAGACCACTATTCCTCGTGAACAGAGATATAAAAGTCCTGAACAAAACAATAACAAACCAAATTCAGGAAAATATAAGCATGATCATATATTTGATCAAGTGGGGTTTATCCCAGAAATGCAGTTTATTTCAACATGCGAATATCAATCAATGCAATTCACATATTAATAGAATAAAGGAGAAAAAAATATAATCATTACAATAAATGCAGGAAAAGCATCAGTCAGTTTTAGCACCAAGTTTTTTTTACTATTATCAATAAAGCTGCTATAAACATCCCTACGCAGGTTTTTGTGTGACCATAGATTTTTATTTCACTTATATAAACACCTAGGAAAGACGGCTGGCTCTTATGGTAAATATAACTTTTTTTAAAGAAACTTTTTAAGATTTTATTTATTTATTTGACAGACATAGATCACAAGCAGGCAGAGAGGCAGGCAGAGAGAGGAAAGGAAGCAGGCTCTCTGCTGATCAGAGAGCCCGATGCAGGGCTCGATCCCAGGATCCTGACATCATGACCTGAGAGGAAGGCAGAGGCTTAACCCACTGAGCCACCCAGGCGCCCCGGTAAGTATAACTTTTTAGTAAACTGCCAACATATTTTCCAATATGGCTGCATAAATTTGCACTCCTGTAAATAAGAATGAGAGTTAGGGGCGCCTGGGTGGCTCAGTGGATTAAGCCTCTGCCTTCTGCTCAGGTCCTGGGATCTAGCCCTGCCTTGGGCTCTCTGCTCAACAGAGAGCCTGCTTCCCTTCC